AGTCAGTGGGTGGGTGGGTGGGCGGGCGGGCGCGTGAGCGAGCGAGCGGCGCGTGAGCGAGCGAGCGAGTGAGTGTGTGAGCCAGAGTAGGTATGCCTGAAGAGAGCCAGTGAGAATGAGAGTCAGCGATTGCAAAGTTGAGTGAGTGACAGTGCGCAGGCGTTGAAAAGGGTGTTACAAGAGTGGGGCATGATCATGTCCCTCATGACCCGTAGAGCGGTTTTGTAAAAATGTTGTAGAAAGGGGCTCAAGACCATCACCAATCAACCCTCCGGTTAAAAACGTCTTCTTTCATCGGCTTAAACGGACCTGAGCCATATGCAACCTGTTTGCTGGTAAGGGAAGTTGAAGGAACCCAGAGGGGGCAAAGCAGCAAACAGAGTTCAGTCTGGCACTGTTTTGGGGCGGGCCTTTTTTTCCAACGAACACGGTTTCAACAATCCGCTTCGCAGCATGGATGGCACCTGTGATAAACTAATGGACCCCCAGGCGCAGATGGTTGTCCTCTTTTACTCAAGGTTTGACACACAAACCCGTCAAGGTGGGTCCTTGTCTGGGCCGCGGGTCCTCATGCGGCCTTGAAGTTCCATCCAGGTCCACCCCACCCTCAAGGACACACCCGCGGGTCCATTAAGGTAGCACTCTCACAACCACAATCTAACTGGTTTAGACCGAAGAAGAACTGGCTGGTGATCAAAAAACCTCCATGTTGCTCCTTCCTCGCGATTCGCGAACGCGATTCTGTAGGGTCAGGACTAAACAGAGATGAATGGGACCTGGACAAAAATCAAGCACTCAGAGGCAGAACCAAGGCGGAGGCCAAGGCTCCGCATTGCACAGAAGCCCGTTTGCTCATTGGGAAGTGGGTAGACGGTGCCCTTTTCAGTTGCTCTCCCCATTAAACCCCGCCAGACCACCGAGCGCGCTTGCGCGCAAGCGCGGTCCAATCATGTTCAGAGCAGCGAGCCGAGCAGACAACTGGAGGGTACCTGGAAGACCATTTTCCTCTTGCAACCGGGTCCCTGTCAGGTGCCATGGCTCTTAGTACCCTATATGTGGGGGTGATCAATACTCCCTTCGGCCCCCAAATGACCATGGGTAACTTTCCCATGTATAGTGGTTGACATATCATTTGTTCTTCGCTTGTATACATCCATTTGCTGCGTTGCCCCCTGGAAAAATGAGAAACTATAGTGAAATCGATTCACAATAACAAATACTCTCAAGCAAATGGACGAACCTCAAATAGCTCCAAAACCCAGGATGAAGATATTCTACTGAAATGGAAGAAACAAGTACGGACAATCCCAACAAATTCATTTCAGCAAATGGATCATCCAAGCAGGTTCTACAACCCCCAAGACCCCAAAAGCACCCAAGAGGTCTCTCCAATATTCAACACCTGCTCCCCTACCATTTAATCAATTTCAATCATGCTCCTTTAACACGTGCTCCCCCCTTAACCAATTTCACAGATGCCCTTTTATGCTAAAAGGCTCGGGGCTGAATGGATGTACATCGCCGAGCAACGGAACGATCCGATCGCTTCGGAATCGGATCGCCTCGTTGGACGCATTGTCCTTCGCGATCGCCTCCAGGCTTCGATTTGCTCGGATTTGAAATCCGCTGACTTGAAGTCTGGGGGCTGGGGCTGGACGTTTTACGTTTTGAACCCTCTGCTTCGCCAAGGTCCTATGGTTTGCTGGTGTGTGGTCTACGTAGTTACTGGACTTTAAGTTTGGAAGCCTCTGATTTGCAAAGTGTCTATGGTTTTCTGGTGTGTCGTTGGTAATTACTTGCAGTACATTGTGGGTTCTGGTGGTTTCTGTGGTTTTCTGGTGTGTGGTTTGTAATTACTTGCAATAGGAATTCTAGGGTTCTACGCCGTATGAAAAAAATCTCTCCTTGGGGGGGGGGGGTAACTTGTTGTTTATCTAGCTTATTGGGGGGTGAACCGCCTTCTAAAATTTGTGTTTTCCAGAGCCTAGACAAAGAAAGTTGCTGGTTCCCCCGGTCTTGGTGGGTTGCTAACCAAATCAGCACGATACTCCAACCATCTGCAAGCGATATCCCCTCGCTCTCCCTTTTTTCTTCTTGCCTTTGGACACTCCCCAACCCTTGGGATATCCATCATCTTCTAGCTTCAGGAAAACAGAGATATTCACGGTCATGTTCAAAACCAGCAGACACCTCTTCGGGATAACAATCATCATCCGCTGCTTGCGTCCTCAACTACGTCCCCGAAATGGGGCAACTAGTTTCCTTTCGGCTTCCCTTCTAAACACCCTAACACAGGCATTCCCTGCAAACAAAAACACAGATAATGACAAGAGATGACAAGAGATAGCCTCCCCCCGCGCCTCAGCCGTCGCTGCTGCGGAAGGCTCGGCAGCCGCGGCTGCAGAAGGCGCGGCATTGGCCTGCGTGATTCGAGCGGTTTTGGGACACCGGAAAAGGACCCCCCTCAATTTGGAAACCACCAGTTGGATGGATCAGGTTGGGGATTCCGTCATTCCCAAAAGTGAAAGGATGCAAAGCAACCGCGGGATTCAACTCCTTCAAACCTCCAGTGACAATTGGGAAAGACCAGGTCAAGTTTCGAGGGAACCCCGCTCCCACACAACTTCCCAAGAAAACAAGCAAAACCCAGTGGATGGACACATGCCACGCATCAGTTGGCATGGATAAACCCCCGAGAAGTACCGCAAGAATCCGCTTGCGGGCTGGCGAGGTTGACCATGCGAGCATTCCTGGCTGAATTTCGCCGGGATCAACCACTCTTGGCGGTCTCCTTTACCAAAATGAACCTAGTTCAAAACGGTAGACTCAAACTTGGGACAATGAACCCCTGAGTTGAATTAAGTCTACCGGGTTGGGGTAATCCGCAAATCTAGGCAAAACTGATGATTCGCCGACTGCGACTAAGGGGCCTGTGACAATCTTCACGGGTGACGTCGCGGCTTTTGTCCCGCTAGCAAGCCGCCCAGAATGGAAACCCTGGGCGCTGAAGGCTTCGAGTTGCTCCAGGTTCCGGGACAAGACCCAGTGACGGATTCCATTGAAAAACCAACAGGGGAACATAACAATTCGAAACTGGGCTGCCCTCAGATCCCCTGCTCTAAGCTTAACTTGTGGGCAAAATACAGAAACCCAACCCCCCCACAAACACAGCTAAAAACCACTTGAACAAAAACACACTAAACCCCGACTCAACACAGCCAAAGACACCGAAGTTGAACGGGACCGCTGGTTCCGAACCGAGCACAACAACTCAAAAGCAGAAGCTCTGCGCGACCATCGCCTGCGCCGCCGCCGCCGGCTCGCCGCTCTTCGCCGCCGGCGCCGGTTGCTCCGATGGCGCAACCGGCGCAACCGGCGCCGGGACCTCGCGGAGGGGGAGGAACCCAAGTTCCCTAGTGGCTCCAAACCAGTTGGAGGGAAGACCCAACACCCTCAAGACCCGCAAATCACCAAAGATCTAGGGGTAACTTCCGTTTCCATTCTGAATCCAGGGATCCGAATCTTTCTAGAAAACCACCAGAAACCCTGGGGAAATGGATCTGTTTTTTGAAAAGAACGATGGCTGAAAAGAATGGACAAGGAATCAACCCCTAGAATGATGAGGTGACTGGGCAAAACAAGTCCACCTGGAGTCTCCTTCTGACCCTTTAATACTAGGTCCATGACCCCATTATTTTAGGTAATGACCCAATTTTTAAAGGATGGAGACTCTAGGCATGTTCCAAACCCTTTTGGAACCTGGTCCCACTTTGTGAGAGGACTCATGTTTCCTTGTAAAAAAAAGAATGAGAGTCCAAACCCGAAAAAAGTGCCGGAAGTCCAGGTACTCAAACAGAATGAGGGTAGGACATGATGGAACTTGCTCGTTCTTTGATCCCTTCAAAGTGGATTCAGGGGTGTCACTGGACAACTGGAACAAGTTGGAATTGATGCAAGAACTAAACCTCAACTGTGGCAACCCAACCAGAAATCAGAGGCTTGGCGTTGGCGGGGGGATCACTTTGGTCGCAGTTTTTGGATCACTTTGGTCGCAGCTGAAATCCACTCACTTTGGTCGTAGTTTGAGCATTTGCGGATCACTTCTGTCGCAATTTTTGGATCACTTCAGGCGCAGTGGAAGATAGCTTTTTGAGCACTAACAACAGGACACACGCAAAGGGTGTTGCCTCTCAAACACCTAACAACAAGACATGCCGCGTGGGGTGGGGTCGACAAGGATGTTGCCTCTCAAACACCTAACAACAAGACATGCCGGGTGGGGTGGGGTCGACAAGGATGTTGCCTCTCAAACACCTAACAGCAAGACATGCCGGGCGGGGTGGGGTCGACAAGGATGTTGCCTCTCAAACACCTAACAACAAGACATGCCGGGTGGGGTGGGGTCGACAAGGATGTTGCCTCTCAAACACCTAACAACAAGACATGCCGGGCGGGGTGGGGTCGACAAGGATGTTGCCTCTCAAACACCTAACAACAAGACATGCCGGGCGGGGTGGGGTCGACAAGGATGTTGCCTCTCAAACACCTAACAACAAGACATGCCGGGCGGGGTGGGGTCGACAAGGATGTTGCCTCTCAAACACCTAACAACAAGACATGCCGGGCGGGGTGGGGTCGACAAGGATGTTGCCTCTCAAACACCTAACAACAAGACATGCCGGGTGGGGTGGGGTCGACAAGGATGTTGCCTCTCAAACACCATAGTCAACGGCGAAGAAACTAGGACCGAAGCGAGTAAGGAAACTAGGACCGAAGCGAGATGAAAACTAGGACCGAAGCGAGCCAGCAACTAGGACCGAAGCGAACCCGCGACCGCTTGGCGTTGGTTAATATTAAGAAAACCCAGAAAAAAACAAAAACTACAACTCCCCGAATGCAGACCAGGTTCAACAGAGATACCGGCAAAAATGCGGATTGCACATTGTTCTTGGCTGTAATCCCGTTCACACATAGACTAGGAGACTCTCATCGCCATATTCACGCTCCACGTTGACTGGGCTCCTGGTGTCAATGTCAAACACCAAGTATAGGTTGTAACATCCCGAGTTTCTGGATTTGGCAAACGAACAAAAAGCAGCATCGGCGCAAAGCAAACAACAAATCAGATTAACGGCTCCAGGACGCTTTGGACAAAACGCTGGCATGTGGAGGGCGTTCTCCATCCAGGTTTTGTAACACTCGTTCTCTGCAAGGGAGCTGAGAAAACGAAATCCTTTTAAAACCACTCTGAAAGGGGGGGGCCCTCAAACACATACACCTGGAGTCTCCATGACCCTCAAAAAATGGAGAAGTTACCCAAAACAATGTGGTCGTTGGCTCATTTTGAAAGGGTCATGAAGACTCCAGGCACCCATTCCCGTTTTCAGAGGTGTCACACCCTTGTTTCTCGGACAAAAGAAGCCTTTTCTCACTTCCAACATGCCCAAGCCTAAACAACAACACACCTCGTTGTTCAGGGGCGCAAGTCAAAGTTCAACTGTTTCGGGGGCAAATCAAAACAACAAACACAACCACTTGGCTTGTCAACCAGTTGAAGAGTCCAACCCAAAACTTCTGGGAAGAAACAATCAACATTTCGCCTTCCAATCTGTGGGTCCCCAATTTTTCAGAGAGAATACCACGAGTTTGTGGTAGGTCCTCCAGTAGAGAGGATGAGGGTACCCGATGTTTCTTTCTGTAGTCGATTTTAGTAGCGGACCCTTCCCAACCAAACAAGTTGGTTGAGAAAGGGCACCTAGTTGGGGACCTGCTGTGGATGGACAAAATCCTGCACCTAAGAAACCCTCCAATGATAATTGGCCTGTAAATACGAGGGTCAGAAATGGATTTCGCAACCATCAGTAGCTGTGGGTTGAGAGATCCGCAAACGCCCGGCAGGTCTGAGCGATCCGAGTCCCTTGCAGGTCTGAGCCGAGCTAAGGCTGGAAGCTGCAGCAACAGCCTTTGAGTTGACTCGAGTCGGGCGAAAAACAAATGCGATTGGGTGATGGGTAGGGAATGACGAGTCCGGGTTTTGGTTGAACGAACCTGGGGACTCCCCAAGGAAGCCAAGCCAATCGGATGGATGGTTCTTGGGGTCATTCCCCCATTGACAGGAAGCAAAGGACGCTCGACAGTCCATTCTTAAACCCAACCTCCGACCAGTGGGATTTTGTTTGGAAAAGGCTTCCTTTACACCAATTCTTCCTCTTCCATACATATATATATATATATGTATGTATGTATATTTACATTATTGGAGGTTCATGCTGGCGGGAGCGAGACATGACAGCGATGGCAGGAGGGACCATGTCGCAACACGGGGTTCCCCCCCCCCCCCGCTGGGCGCTGGATTCTTGCTTTCGTGCGAGCAAGCGCTCGGCAACTCGACATGTAACCATCATCCTCAACATGGGTAGGTGTCTTTTTTTGGGGGGGGAGGGCAGCAAGAACCCCAGGTAAGTAACATACCGGAAGGGGGTTGCATGGGGTTGCTTTCTTGCTTACTTGCTTGCTTACTTACGGACCTGGGTTCCTAATGGGGGACTGGGTGTCGGCGACCATTTTGGGAGTCCACCCGCCCGCCGTGCGCCTCACACGCTTGGGCATCGACGAGCTCTCCGAATCGATTTGCCGAAGCGGCGGATTCTGCAGGGCCCCTTATAGTCAGACCTGATTCTGGGGGCAACTTCCATTTCCAGTCTGAACCCAGGGATTCGGGCTCTTTCTAGAAAGCACCCGGATTTGTTTTCTTTAAAAAAAAAAAAAACGGTTCCGGTGTTTGGAAAGAACGGTGGTTGAAAAGAATGGGGCATCAACCCCTAGAATGATTCAACCCAAGCCACAAGAGACAGATGGGCAAATCACCAGGCAACACCGACCTGAGGGACCAAACTGTACCCAGATGTGTCTCAACATAGGGATATCCCATTTAAGGGCTGGATTTCTTTGTGGTTTCCCTGCACAATCCCCCAAAAAAGGTACAACAAAAGAAGCAGAAGGCAGAAGGCGAGCGACCCCAGTGCTGGGCTTGAGGCCAAAGTAGTCGCCCACACCAAATGAAGGGTGCGGCCTCTCAGGTCCAACAGACGCAAGTTTGCCCCGTGGAAATTGACCTGGATGGTTTTGTTTGGGATTCGGATCCCCAAATTCGTGGTTTTCCTTTTGGTGTTCCCTTTAAAGCCGCCTAAAAAGGTGTTTTTAGGATTCGGACCCCCAAAATGCGGGGGAGGGGGGGGGTTGTCCTTTCGGTTTTCTCTTTAATTAAACAGCAAACAAACACAGGGGTACCCTCAACAAAAAGACACGCGAACATGGACGCCCAAAGCCCAAGCACTCTGGAGAGGAACCGGCCAGAGGCAACATGAAGCCTCAAGACTAGGGGGTGCCATGTGAATCTCCAAGATCAAGAAACTGAAACGCCAAGCCATCCAGATACTTTTCGCTTCCAACCTCCAGAAGTGACGCCATGACACTCCGGAGAAGTGGCCGCTTGGTTTCAGCTAGCTAGCCTCAGACCTCAGGATCCAAGCCCCGCGCTTGCTGAAAACCAACCGCTTGGCCGCAAATGTTCAAAGTGCGATTCACAGTGGGCTGCAGGAAAACATCTCCAAGAAGCTCAATGCTTCTCATCGGTTTCGCCTAAAGCGAGACATTGGTGTCAGATACAGGGTTGGGCAAACGAGCCCTTGCGGCCATGGCAATTCAGCGCCCGACCAAGCCGAAGCCTCAGTTGTTGGGCTTGAAAGCCCCAGACCCCCAGTGGCCATGGAAAACACCTTCGACACTCTTTGTGTACGGTAGTTGATTTCAAACGGACACAGGCTCCAAACAAAAAGAGGACATAGGTGATGTTGACAAGACACCCCAGGTCAAATGAGGCTGCGGGTCAAAGCCCTGTACCTCTGGTGAACATCAAAATAGGTGGCAAATGGATGTTCGTCCACCCCAAAATGGCTCGCCATAGGCTATGCAACCCATGGCCATGAAAAAACAAAGGACCAAACCAAGCGGGGGGCGAGGTCCGGCGAGATCCGGCGATCCGCCAGCGATCCGGCGAGATCCGCTGTCTCACGCCTCCTTGCTTTGTGGCTCTGCCCATGGCCTGCGGCACTGCGTGGGATCGGGCGCTTGGCTCGCGATGTTCGTCCGCGGCGTTTTTTTCTCTCCATGGAAACCCTGTTGGGCTGTTGGGCTGATGAGCTGTTGGGCTGCTGGGCTGTTGCCATCAAATAGGGAGAATCCTGGGACCAACCTGGCAGCCCTTGCTTCCAAAGGCTTCACGTGTAACTTATGGAACCCCAACACTCACTTCCGATCAAGTGGATGAGCCAAAGAAAAGTCGGTGTGGTTTTTGTCTGAGCCGCTAAAATGGCAACCAAACCCAAAAAGTGACTAAAGTCCATAAACTCAGGAAGTGAGAAAAGGCGTCCCCCAAAAAGATGTCCTACAAATCATACCCAAGTTGGGCTAACAGCGAAGTATAAAATAACAAACTGGAATTCGGGCATATCCAGGTTTAAAAAAACAAAACAAACATCAGCGAGCGCCTTTCTATCAGTGAGTTTGCCCAGACCCGACCAGCAAGCATGGCAACCTGGAGGTCACCAGCCTGGGAGGAAAGGGTGAAACTGGCGGACCTTCTTTTGGCTCACCGAAAAGGACACCACAACAAAATCAACTGCCTGGCGTCTCCATGACCCCTTAAAAATGGGGTCACTACCCAACATAATGGGGTCAAGACCCCATTTTTAAGGGGTCACGGGGACTCCAGGTATTTTAAAAACCCAACAAAGCGTCCGAAATCATGGCTTCAACTTGGAGATCGAGCTTTTTCGGGACTCAGCCAGCCCTCAAGTGCATGGTGAGGCTCCCGCTTGGCCCACATCTGGGATGCTCCGCCCCCAAAAAACGTACCCCCAGTGAACATCCCGATCCCCACTAAAATAGACTAAAATGGGTGGTGCACCTACCCCAAAATGGTCCCATTGGTTTTGACCCACAGCCATATGGTTCTCATTCTGCTTCATGGCCCAACAGATTGAATCCTTTCGGAGGCGCCCCCCCCCCCACCCCGACTCCAGAGCACTTGGGGAAGTGAAAAAAAAAAACAAAAAACCGCCCCTGAAAACCAGACCTGATCGAAAGGCTTGGGGCTGCCTTCTTTCAGGCCACCTATTCCCGCTTGGTTTAGGGAAACCAAAGCTCGGCTGCGAAATCTGCAAACCCCTGCCACAAGTTTTCAACTTTTGGTGGTTTAATACGGAAAACCCATTGGTTGGCAAAAAGCTAAAGTCCGAACATTTCTTGGCAAAATGCACCAAAGAAAGCAAACATGCCCGATTTAAAGATAACTCTTGAGCCGCCACTCTGCCAGGCAGAGAAATCAAGTCTTAGCTCACAGGGCTTCACTGGTCCTTTTTGAACCCGAGTTGGGCCCCACATTTGCCCTTCGCCTTTCCAAGCGTTTTTGCAGCTCAATCAGCAATAAGTCCAAACTTGTTGCCACTAAAATGATCTTCCAAAACAAGTTCCAAGTCCGGAGGGAGAATTGCAAACAAGGATGCTGGATCCACTCAGAGGTCCCTTTTTATTCTGGCCCCGTGATTTCGTTTTTGTTTTTGTTTTTTTAACCATGACCAAAGTTACCCGCTCCGTGGCGGGTTGAAGGGAAAGAGGCCCCCTAGCAGTCAAACAAACAAAAAAAGGTTTCTCTGCCTGCGCAGTCGGCATCTGGTCAAGAGGCTTGTCTCGTTGGCTGAGACCGGGGCAGTAGCACAGAGGTGATGTCTTCCAAGTAGGCCTCACACGTCACCGCAACATGGCGGTCCCAAACCGGGCCGATGTGTACGCGATTGTATTTGTTTGTTAAGGTGAACCAAAAGTAAATAAAGTGTGACAACATCAAACAAGGGGAACCGCCCAAACCCAGAATCTGAGGCACATTGAGCGGGTCAACCAAGTTTGAAATGGCATTGACCAGCTTTTTGAGTTTTTTGGTGGAATAGCACTCTTCGTTCAAGGCTAAATCCAGTAGTGATAGATTGCAAACAAAACCATGGCTATCTTGCAGGCACTTGTGCAACTGAGTGGCATCTACTCAAACACACGCCATCCGCGTGACTGGAACGAGATCCTGTTCTGAAAACGTTTGTGCTCACCGGCTGCTTCATGTGTAGTCACACATGTCATGCCACATGTACCCAGGAACTGAACCAAACCTAGACCGAAACGGGGTGACAAAAAACAAGGACTCAAACAATTCGAAGGAACCCACGACCTAGCACGTTGTTGTCCCAGCATTTCCACCTTACCCCCACTATGGCAGGTAACCAGGGTTGGTCAACCATGTGTTGCAGAACATTTTTCCCTGGTTGCTATAGTGCCTGGAAGCACTGTGTCAAAATGGGGTTTCGGCCCAACATGTCTTATTCTCCCTATTTCCCTTGAAGCCCATTTCCCTCAACACACTTGAGACGCCCCGTTTCCAGCAAGACCACACGCCACCCCCTCTTTCTCACTTCCTGCCGAAAAATCCAAACCTTCGCCCAAGATGGTCACCGAAGCCGAGAATCCAAGTTCCGAGTTCCGGACCCCCAAAAAGTGGCACAGGGAAGTCACTGAACTCTCAAGGGCTTCCGCCTGAAGCCTTTTTCGTGGATGCTTGTCAGCGGAAAAAACGAAAACAATAACTCTCACACAAAAGGAAAAAAACGTATTTTGACATCAGCCATAGTTTCCTCACCGTCCTAGATTTTTTTTGGAGTAAGCTCCAAAGGGTAATTACTCGCTTCGGTGAACTCCCCGCCGTCGCTCGCTTCGGATTTCTCGCCTCGGAGCGGCTCAGCGTGGCCAGGAAGAGCAGCACGCCGCTGCTCACCAAGAGCGCGGCAGGCGCCGCCATCTCGGGCGAAGCCGTGCGGCGCGTTCGATTTGGGTTTTGCTCTCTCCTTTTGTTTTAAAAAAATAATATTATCATGTGTTTTGTTCTATGTATGTATATATTTATTCAATAATTACGTTTTATTAAGCATTTAAACTTGCTGAAGCGATATATGATTGTTTTGTTTCCCCAGTGTTTGCCGACGTGTTGGTGTTTGTTTGGCTTTCTTAAGCATTTACTGAGATAAATATTATGCGCTTTGATGTTCCCCTTTCGGGTTTTTTGACTTTTATTTTCCCCTTGTCGGTTGTGACACATGCAAATGGACCCTGTCTTTTGGGGGGCACCATCTTGTGTTGGTGTCGTTGTGTCTGTTTTTCCGCGGGTACCCTTTTTAAGGGGATGTTTGTGTATTACGTCTCCTCAGCAAGTGTAGCTGTGCGTGCACTTGAGTTGGACTTGATGCATTGGGGATCTGCACCATCAGGTTGTTTTTGGAACCAGAACCCGCCCTCCCAAGGACGTGTTTGAGGGTGAAACTATATAGATGTTACAAGCTACAACCTGCCCGTGGTTTTGTCATTACCTTTGCTGACCAAAGGGAATGGCGGCAGATACTTGCAGTGTAGACGCATGCTTGGGGACGCGGAGGAATCCAGGTGACAGGTTTCGCTCATGATTGGATCGGCACGGCCTTTCAAGGATAGCCTTTTGTGGGCTGGAGGTTTCCACAAAGAGAGATGGTGTGGCCAACTCAAAGGACGCGCCGCGCAGTGCCCTTTGAATCTTTCCCCCGGTCCAAACTCAACTTGGTTCGGTTTACTTTGTGTAGTTTCATGTTTGGGGATGCTTCCAATCTTTGCTAAGAAATCCGCTTGACCGCTAAGCTAGGTCCTCCAGTAGAGAGGTTAGAATCAGGGTACCCTTTGTTCTGTAGTCTATTTTAGTAGGGGAACCCTTCCCCAAAAAAAGTTGGTTAAAGAGCACTACTGGGAGACCTAGTAAGCCAATTAAAGTGCCCTTTGAGCCTTTCCCCTGTCCAACACCCCCACGTCTGAGTTCAGAGTTCAAGAAACTAACCTCTGAAAATCTGGGCTGCCCCGCTGCGAAGGCCTGAATGGACTGCTTCTGGTACAGTCCTGGAAGAAAAAAGAGCGTCCCCGGCCTTGGGCGATGTTCGGCCCTAAACCGAATGTTGACCTCGGAGTACTTTTCCCCCGGTTGGGTTCGTGCTGACTGGAATGGAATGCATTTGGGAAGGCACTCCCTCTGAGCCCAAGAGGGCCGAGCTGAAGGTCAACACAACGGTTTATTAGTATGTGGGTGTTCCGCTCCATGATAAACCGCACTAAAACCGGGCACGCCCCCATATTAATAAACCGGGGGGTATTAATCCGGGGTCAACATTGAGGCTTACCCTCCCACCAACACAGAACCTCACGTTTGGGGAATCGGTCCTGGTGTGGACCATGCTCCTTTTAAAGGAACCGGGTGCCGAACGTGAGGGTCCGTGTTAATTGGTGGGAGGGTAAATCATGTTCATCATTGTCTCCAAAAGCAAAAATGGACGAGGGTGGCATCAAAGCCTTCGTTTGTGCTGTCTCGTAGGGGACGACGGGGTGATGGTGTCGCCTATCGATTGTGGGGGGCCAGTGCATCTGGAGCAACGGGAAATCTGAGTTGAAGCAAACCACTGGCTGACATAAGCTAGGTCCTCCAGTCGAGAGGTCAGAATAAGGGTACCCGAGTCTTTTCTGTAGTCTATTTTAGTAGGGGAACCCTCCCCAAAAAAAGTTGATAAAAGGGCCCTACTGGGGGACCTAGTAAAGGTTCCCCATCCAAGGTTCACATGCAGCCGATGGACCAAATTCACTTCGCACCAGTTGGCAGGTAGTCAAGGCATCCATCCAACCTGTTGTGAATGGGGCCCTTCATGCTAATGGGGCACAAGTAGGGTGACCCTGTGACCGTCCGAGCGAGCTGAACACCGGGATCTTAGAATAAAGTTGTCGCCTCGGTGAGACGGAAGCCTGAAAGATTGTAAGGGAAGAATGACAACACTCTACCACAAATGCATGGACAATTACGCTCCCACCACCCTCCCACCACCCTCCCACCAATTAACACGGAAGTGCAAAAAGGCCCTTTCCAATAGGAAAGTCGTCTTTCTACAGGGGTCTGTGCACTTCCATGTTAGCTGAGGGTACGGCAAGTCAGGGGCTTTTTTGCTTTCCACCACTCCATTACTTGCAAGTAATCTTTCGGACATCCACCGTATCAGACAAATATGTTTGTTCCAGTCCTCAACCAGCTTTAACCCTGACACAGGGCCTGTCAGAAAAGCCGAACAGGCAAAAAGGTGCAACACGTGCGTAAGCCTTTCTTTGCCAGCATATGAGCAGCGCTTCTTCTGTTTTGCGGTGCCTAAAAAATTGGCATTTCAGCATAAAATCCATGCCAAGTGGAAATGCATTGCCAGTAGTGATAAATTCCCTTCAAAACCAACGAGGCAACTACCGCATATTCTCCAGCAAATGGAAGAAACTGGCGAAGACTGGCAGTGAAAAAGACCCATCCCCTCCATCTTCCCCCACCCCCCACCCCGCCAGTCTCTCTATGTTCCCCGGGTTTCTGTCCGAAGGAGCCATTGAAAGACACGCCTTGTTTTCTTAGATGGCCGCCCCTTCTTTTCTCAGGATCCGGATGCATGAAAAACACCTGAACATTGCAACTTGTAAATGGTGGTGTCCAACTTTATTTTGGATTTGAAAAAGCAACATGTTTCAAATGGTTGCAACATGTATCTTTTAAGGAGCCCTGTTTCTAGATGGTTGATATCCACACTTAGTACGTACCAAGTGGGGACTTACTAAGTGGAATCTCTCGCCCCCAGTCTTCGCAGCCTGTTCCTTGCTTGTACCTCCACCCCCCCAATCCGCATGTCTCCCCCTGTCCCAAATGGGCAGATTCCCTCTGGCTTCCCATCAAAACAAGGCACCCTCAAAGCAAGACAAACAGACACCCAGAACTGGCTCAATCGCACAACAAAACAAACAACAAAGTCGCAACAACCTTTGGTTTTGCTTTGGTTTCCACTTGTTCACTGCTGGGTTGCCTCAACATAGGCGAAGCCCAAAAGCTGTTGGTTCCCTGTGCGTTTCTTTTTGAGCCAAGCCAAAGAGGGTACCTACACTGCACACAACCTGTTTTCTCTTCAACAAACTCCCAAACCAAAACCCAATACAATAAAAACACGTATCAAACACTCGAAACCAATTTGACCCCCCCCCAAAAAAAAACATATGAAAAGGCAGCTTTGATACGTGCTTCGGTTTGTCTCTGCTTTGATACGCCGGGAAAAAGGAAGAAAAACAACAACAAAATACCACTTCAAACTACATCTCATCAGAAAATAAAACATCTTCCCCCCCCAGGACCCCCCGAAACGGACCCCCCCCGATCCGTGAAACGCCTCGCGCTTCAAGCGCTCGCGCTCCTGCGGCCGCGCCCAGCAGCCCCAGCGCCAGCGCGCTCAAGGCCTCCAGCGTGGCCGGCAGCGCCAGGCAAAGCACCGCCTCGAGCGCGGCGCGTGCTTCGCGCTTCGCGCTCGCGAGTGCCGCGGGTTTCGCGCGCGGCTACCTGGAGTCTCCATGACCCGTAACCTTCCTGCTGAAATGAATATTTATGTTATTTTCCCCTGTTGGCTTTAAAGGGAATCTTTCACTACTGGATTTTCTCCAGGGGTCTGAAACAAATGGAAGTTTAAAAATGGGCAAATCACTCCATGACTTTGGGTAACGACCCCCATTTTTGATTCGGGTCATGGAGACTCCAGGTACCCCCCAAGGCTTCGCTCGACAAAAGAGTTTGCGGCGGTTTTAGAAGGATCCCCGTGTGTACGGTAGGGTGTGCAAAGAACACATCAGGCAAGTGGGTGTGTATCTTGGGTGTTCAAACCACATCTTGCAAGTGGGGTAATAAGCATGGTTATGAATGGGACTCAATTATTTTAGCCCGGTAAAAGGTGTGATTATGATCTGATTACTGAGTCGTAAGTTGGTTGAAGGTCCTACTGTGGCTGGACGAAAGATCAGAAACCCAAGGGAATGATTCGATTCCCAAATGTAAATACCAACAATGAAAATGGCTTCCCACCTAAGAAATCCTGGAATGGTTCGATTCCCTTGTAAATACCAACAAACAATGGTTTTTTGAGGGTTTCCCCCATGCTTTCTTAGGTGGTGCGAGAAAGATGTTCATCCACAGTACGAAGTCGGAATCTAAGCAGAATGGTCTTTGAGCTTCGGAGAGCAGGCCGTGAAAGCGGGCCGATCCAAAGATGGTGACAGAGAGTCCTACGCTTGGACTTTGGGCCAATAGAGCCATGGCCATACGGCCAGGGGCAGTAATTCCCTGACTCACCTTGACAAAAATGGCGGAAGAAGAAGGGTGCGGGGTCTACCTTCCTTTCCAGTCGTAGATTCAAAGAGGTTCCCCCCCCAAGAAAAAAAAAAAAAACATAAAACTGGACGAAGGGGAATATCGCCATGGAGCCGGTGGCAAACTCCCTGTGACATATTGAGTGCTCAACATTGCTATTGGGGTGGTTTCCCTTTCCCATGGGGACTAGCTTTGAGAGTGGTTACCCTCATTTGCCAAAATCTGACCCCCAGAGTAGATCTGAGGATTTGAGACACAAACCCCATGGAAGATGATGCCAGACATTTGGCTGTGGCTTGGTTTGTTGCCTTCCCCGATCTATTGATACCGCGGCTGACCTATGCCCTTCGGAGCTGACGAATTCATTCCCCGCTGTGGAATTTGCACCTGTGACACGAAAGTGCTCGATTCCGATGCTCATGCCTTTATGGCTTTCAAGGATATCTGTCACAGGGATCCGGATGCATGAAAAACACCGATCAAACATTGCAACTTGTAAATGATGGTTTCCAAACTTTATTTCGGAGTTGAAAAAGCCAGCCATGTTTCAAATGGTTGCAAAATGGAGATCTTTTAAGGAGCCCTGTGTCACACTCTGGGTATGGTGTAGCCCACTGAAATGAGGAGAGGAACAAACAACAATTCACTTCCGGAGTGGATTGGGCAGAACAAGTCGAACAACGTTTTGCTCACTACGAAACTCGGTTGCTTTCTGCTCCCCTGCTAAAAGTTTAACTTTTAGTGACTTTTAGTGGTTTAGTGGAAAACCCATTAGTTGGCAAAAAGTTGAAGTCCTAACAGCCAACCAACATGCGCCAAAGTAAATGTGTCTTCCCAAAAAAGCTTAAAGTCCAGGAACTCAGAAAGTGAGACAGGAAAACACATGAGTGTTCAGCGAACAGATGACAAGTTTGAGGTCACCTTGATGTCCCGCTGCCGACAAACTGCCGAAAAACACGGTTTCAGATTAAACCGACCCCAAAAGGGTGTCTTGCAAATAAACAACAAATCCACAGGCCACAGGTTGACTGGTTTCAGACGCCACTAAACATGCTGACTGGGGAGGTTCACGTAATGGGTTTGTGTCAAAATGGCTAACCCCCCTCCAACAACAAATAAATCAATGCTAGCGGTTTCATGTTGGTGTCCTTTTTGCATAATCCCAACAGGGCACTACCAAAAACATATATATATATATATATGTATATATGGTCACCCCCCCCCCCCAGGGCCTACCTTTGCCCTCTTCTAGTTGAAGGTGTCAACTCTACTCTGTGTGCCTCTTTCTTGCAGATGCCTGAAACACTGTAAAATACAGTGTTTTGTTGTTTTTGTTTACCTTCTATATGACAGCAGATGTCTGATTCTTTGAGGCTTGAAAGGCAGCAAAGCGAAAACGGATTCCGTTTTCAGATTCAAGCCTGGCTTTGATTGAATCACTGGTTTTTACAGTGGTTTTGAGTACACCAGGGAAAAACATTGAAAACATGATGTTTTTGGCAGCTTTGAGCTCTGCAACCTGCACAGACCCAAAAGCACAACATCTCCTGAAAATGAAAGCTCTGAGACCTGCACATGCCAAACACATCTCCAGACCAAGTTTGGGAGTCTGGGGATATGTGCCCTTTATTTGTTTAGCCACATTTAAGCTAAATCATAGTTGGGAATGAGTTACTATTAAAATTTGTTTGCAAAGGCCAAGTGATTTCTTTCCAGAATAAGCTATATTCCAATTCAAGTTGTATTTGGGGATGGATTCTTAATTAAATTATTATGTTCAAAAGCTAATTGAACTCTGTCTGCATTAAAGTATATTTGGATTCTACTGCAATGATATTTTCCTTATTTGGAAAGGTATTCCTGTTCAAATTCTGATCTAATATAGACATTATGGTGAATTATGAATGGTGGTGAACTATGTGCTTACTAAATTATATTCAATATGCAAATTCAATTCGGATCAAAAATCGTATTTGGAAAGGAATGTGTACTTGGATATGTTGGACTCCAGGCTCCAAATTATGAGGCTTGGAGAATCCAACATTAGACATTTCGAGCATTCTGATCTCCAGATTCTAGGTTTCAGGTGTTTCAAATTGGACATTTCAAGGGATTAGAGATCCAACAAAATGCTGTAAAACACAGTGTTTTGCAGCAGTTGCTCAGATTGTGTTCCCTTGGACCGAATGGACAGCCTTTGATATAACAGTGCAGCAGTGATGACACACACACACACAATCATCAACCTTTTAGGACCACATGCCCAAACCACATCAAACAAGGCCTCAAATGAGTGTCCTTTTTTTCCCAAACAACAGTCTCCACTTGCTGCGCAATAAGCCTACAGAAGGTTTATAAACTTTCAGGAAAGTTTATAAACCTTGTTGAGTGTTTGACGAGTTTCCCGCGTCAAGGTTCATGGTATCGTTGAAGGATGGGGGGAGGGGGGGGGGGGTGGCTGGAAGTCTTAGCAGTGAGGTGTGACTCAGCCAACTTTGTAAAGACTTCTCAGTACCCCCCGCCCCCTCCCCCCCCTCCCCTCCCCCCCTCCCCCCCCTCCCCCCCCCTCCCCCCCCCCCCCCCCCCCCCCCCCGTAAAGAGTTCTGACCCCCCCCCTGCCCTTGTTGCAGGGAAACCGTCAAACCCTTGACATGGTTTATAAACTGTCTTGAAAGTTTATTCTTTGCTGTTGTTACTCAACATGACTTGTCACCCACAAACAAATATGCAGCAACAGCACACTTCTTGCGTATGTATGCTCACACCCCCTGTCTTTAAAAATAAGAGGGTTTTGTACATTTTGAAGTGGAAAGGTAGGCCCTGGGGGGGGGGGTGAGCATATATATATATATGTATTTGTGTTTTCAAGAGTGCGGAACAAGAATATGAAGCTGAAGGGTTGTGGGAATTCAGTGGGAAACTACCCAGGGTAACTGCCGCAAACGCAGTGCTCTGCATTGAGCCGATGGAGTCCGCGCGTCCGCTTTGACGGGACCGTGGGTTGTCGCCTTAGGTCTGAAAGCAGACGGCCCACTCCTCATACTCATCGTCTTCCTTCAAGAAAAAAAGCGGCGCAAAGAGCTTCTCAACGTTGCACTTCTCTAAGGGCTTTTGTATTGCACCTTGGGAATACACCCACTGGTTATTGTCCCCATTTGGGCGGCACATTTGCGGATAAGACCGTGTAGTTTGTGTAATCCCAGGGTGTAATACAAAAACCCTCCGAACTTCTCCTTGGGCTCCGCGATCAGCTCTGCTCCCAGCAACCTTGATCTTCACCCACGGTATCAAGGGATTTTTTCTGGCCAGTACCTAAACTGGGCTGCCCGCTTTCTGATCTGCGAAAAGCTTAAACAACAATAGTTGGTTGTATGGACACCCAAGAACAAAACCAGCAACAAAAATGGAAATCTAAGGAACGGAGGGCTGGTTTCAAATCGCCAAGTCAAAGAATGTGGTGTCCAAAGATGGGGGGACTGATGACTCCCCGCTTTTGTGTTTTTTTGCCAGTCACTTCGAGGAAACCTGTCCAATGGAGGTTCGCTGAAGGGCGAGAACTCTCAAAAGCCCACGCAAAGGCCTCGTGGAAAGGAAGCGGCAAGCAGCCAATTTTCCACTTTTCAGATGGAGATGTGTTGCCAGGCAAAAACCTCGCCCCCTTTTTGCTTTTTGCGGGGTGTATTTTCAGCCTTGAGAAAGATCGCCGGACTCTCCCCTTGTAGTAAAAAGTCTCAGGGAAGGAAGCCAAGTCCAAGCGGCTGTACCTGACCCTGGGTGAACTCAAAGGAGCATAGGCAATGCAGTCACCTGGTGACCTTTCGCACCATGGCCCTGGTAAAATGGAAGAAAACCCATCCGAACCAGTCGAACCCATCTTGACGTTCTTGTTCTTGGCCTTGACACGCTGAATCTCCTCCTTCATGAAGATGTTGTACGCAGTGGGGGCACGTTTCTCCTTGACGTCTATATAATGGTGATGGGAAACACGGAGTGTATATAAGTGAGTCAAGAGGAACAAAGATGGGAACATTGGTCATACACAATAACGGGGATGTTCATACTTTCAGGGGTATAGTTACTCCTTCTGAAGTGGGTTGGAAACCAGGGAAGCCAAGGCCTACGAACAAGGGGTATGTACTTCCAGCCTCAGGCACCAACCTAACAAGGACGTCTGTCAAAAGGAGGTTTCACGACCATCTGACCAAACTTCATTCGCGCCTGGATCAGATCCCCCAGCAGCACCGTCAACCTGGCGCAATTGGCTTACGTCCCCTGGATTGCTTTTTTTGTTTGACAATATGTCCAGTAGTGATAGATTTCCTTGAACATCAGGGGAAACAACACATATCCTCAAGCACATGGAAGCACTGTAGGTATCAACATAGTCAGCTTCCCTCTAGTTGGGCGTTTGGATTGGTGTGGTTTGGGGTGGTTCGTGTACTAGCTTACCAACACGTCATGCTTAAACTTACAGCCACCCGCACGGGTGGCTGATGCTTCGACGCTTCACCCCAACTTCCGGGGGGGCATCTGCACTCCAGTTCACTTCACTCGAGCGTCTGAAGTGGGGTCCCAAAGCAAACAAATGCCACAATGTGCCGTGCAACCTGCGGGTCAAAGAACCTTCGTCTTTGAGAATGAACCTTAGGGATCCCAAGCAACATAATTTTTTGAGTCTTGGAGTTCCCTCAATCCGTGCCCGAGAACCAGCAAGGAACCATTCCACCCGGCCCAGATGAGTTTGGGAGTTTCATTTGTCCACCTCGGACAGCACAGATCAAAGCTGTGCCATGAGGCTTAACCCTTGTCAATGGCGAAACGTTGCAAAAGGTGAACAAGCAAAGTCATCTCCCCAAAAAGATTGAAGCCTTAGCACATAGAATGGCTTGAAAGGGAAACTCACACTCCCAAAGGTCATGGCTGCAACCCGGTACCAGGGGTAAGCCTCGCTTTGGGTCGACGCGCGTCTTGCACCTGCTCACTTCCGAACGGGAGTGGATTGGCCAAAACAGTCTGAACTTGTGATATGTGTCTCTAGAATGGTCTCCATACAAAAAGAAATAAAGTCGAGGAACTCAGGGACTGAGCCTAAGAAACCCTGCTTGAAACCGTGGTTCGTTGGTATCTACAGAAACATCGTCTCATTACGTTGAGTGTTTCTTGGGTGGTGCGAAACGGAGTTCACCATCCACGGTACTGGAGATCCGTGTGCCAAGCGCACACCAAGCATGGAGGCCGCGCCCTGCTCCGAGCAGCAATCTCAGGCCGTCGGCCCTGGGCAAAATCATGTTGCCATGGCAGGCCATGGCAGGGGTGGGGGCCACCCCCTCCCACAAATGCTACTGATGGACGAAATCCCGCAGGACTTTTAAGAAAGCAGGGGAAATCATGGTTCGTTGGTATTTACGGGGGAATCGAACATATGCCAGGGCTTCTTAGGTGGTGCGAGAAGCGGATTTCGCAACCATCCACAGTATGTTACTGGGAGGAAGGGTAACCCAATTGAAACCTTTCTTTTGGGCATGTCGTTTTCCTGCCGAACTGGCTACCAGGTGAAAGCCTTTCCCCTGTGAGCCTTTGACAATTCTGCCTCTCCACAAGAAAACAACTCACCGCAAGGTCCCGGCATGGTCGTGGAAACCACCTTCTCTGTGCTACCAAAGTATATGTTGTGCATCCACAGTATCACCAAAAAGGGGGTCCTGCCGAACATTCCACAGCCGTGAGTCCCGGTCGGGAGAAATGCGTGGCATATATCTCCAACAAGCAGCCCATGAGCACATTTAAGAGGGGCAACCAGTCATTTGGTGTGGGTGTGTTTGTTGTTAAGTGGTTGCTCAGCCGGGAAGTCAGAAACAAAACCAAATATTCTCATGGGACAAGGCGGAACTGATCGAAACCGGGACTTCCTCAATGCGCAGGGCTGAGATCCTTAATTAAGGACAATCGTTCCACAGAGTTTCCCTTAAGTTACGTCCTCGAGAATACCCAATGGTGGTGTTCGACCCGCCCAGGTGTGTAATGGACCGAGTTGAACACAGGAACAACACAGAAAACTGCAACAGAACAACTCAGGTTGCCCTTGATTGGTGGTTTGGATTGGTGGCTTGGATTGGTGATTTGGGGATTTGAACCTTGGTGTTTTGTCGAGGGTAAATGGGCAACCACCCTTCACCACCAAACCACCAATTCAAATCACCAATCGGGGGCGAAGCTGAAAACCGGCCATGATTAAAAGCAAAACACACCACGAACAGAGGCGACAACTGAGCAATCAACATTTTGGCCAGCGGGCGTCACGTGTTCCCGAGCAATCAAGTAAAATGACCCTTTTGTCTAGAAAACGGTTCGGAGACGCGCTGTTTGTCGATTTCACCTGTTCTTGCCCCTGTAGAATACTTTTTATACCACTCTTTTAGTACTTTTTCAATATCCCACAGGGCTGGTTCCACAGATTCGCCACATTGCTGTGGGTCAAAACCAATGGTACAATTTTGGGGTAGGTGCACCACCCATTTTTGTCTATAGTGGGGATTGGGATGTTCACTGGAATTACGATGTGGCTTCTGACCCAATTCGCCATCTCCCGTGGACGCTTTGGCGCAGCTTGCGACGGCGCCAAGTCGGGCCCCCGGCCCTTTCCACAGGAACGCAAGCGCCAGGGTCGCGGTGAGCAGCCCTGAGCCGAGTTTTCCCGAGCCCCGCCCCACAGAAAGGCAGCGCTTACCCCCCGGAGTCTTCCATTTTCGTTAAGACCCCTGGAAGAAAATCTAAAAAACTTCCAGTAGTGATGGAGTCCCTTAAGAAACAACAGGGGAAAATAAAATATATATTCTTACAAGCAAATGGAAGGAGAGGAGTCCTACTCATAGGTGACCTTTTGGACAAATAGATGGCCCTGGTAAATGGAATCAAGCCAATCTAAACCAGTGCTATCTACTTCAAACCAAACTCACCTAAAAGGCATGGTCGAGATCGAAATCCATCCGAGTCTCGCACCACAGGAATGAAACCATAGCATCTGTTACGGAAATTAAAGTTGGGGAATCAGAAAAGTCCCTCGGGGTTCGGAACGGTGGTGCGAAATGGAATTCGCAACCATCCGCAGTGGGGGCCCACTTGGGTGTTCAATCCGTGCACCAGGAAGTGGGTTAATAACCATGGTTTGTAAAGGTCATAAATGGGTTGTAATCTGAGTACTAAGTTGCAAGTTGGTTGAAGGTCCTACTGTGGCTGGACGTTTCAACGGAGGTGTCCCCAGGTTTTCTAGGGCTTTTCATCACTTTCAGAGGGAAACACTCCCAGAAAAAATATACAGGGTTTTATTCATCCGGGGTGACCAGTAAATTAGACTGAAAGGGGAACCCCGCCCCAACTCGAGAAAGTCTTGGCGATCCTTCAGCTGAGTCACAATCAAAACCTGGTACAAAAATGGTGAACCCAGAACCATGTAAAGAATTAGAAAGGCGGCCGCAATTATTTATGGCTGGGATTGTCCCTTACTAACCTTCATCTACCCAGGTTTTGATTGTGGCTCAGCTGATGCTTCTCTTTTGGTGCGGTTTGGTACCGGAACCTTGGGAGTACCGTACAAAAAGAGTCTGGGCTCCTGATTTTCTCACAGTTTCTGGGGGGTTTTCAAAGTCAGACAATTTGTTCTTTCCCTCTAAACCTACCACTTAGCGCCTGAGTTTATGGCAACATAATGGGCCAAAAGAGGTGTGGTGTTGCAGAACCCTTAAAAGGCGCCCAGACATCTGGGCGAAGCGATCGAACCACACCCAGACCCGGTGGCCATTAGAAAAAGAGGGCAATCTCTTTGTTTGGTACTATTCTTCTCCAAATCTCCAAGCAAAGGACAAAGGGCAGTGGAGGACTGGGGGTTCCCAAGGTTCCCAAGATTCCATTCCCCTGTGCTGCTGAAGCAGATTTTGCAACTCGAAAGTGAACGGAACGTCGGAACCCGACAGCAGAAGCCTTTCCATCATCATACCAAACAGCAGGGGGTCACATGCGCGCAAAAAAAAAGGAAAGAAAAAACACGTACCCTAAAACTAAGGGGCCCCGATTGTTTTCGGGCAAAACTGGTTGTTTTCAAGGGCCCCTGAGACCTCGGGGTTCTCCATTGGAGGGTCCAGGGGTGTGCATTGGGTCATGATCCTTAGGGTATGCATGCCACGCTCGGCAAAACTGCAACGGACGGTCTTCCACAAAGGTTATTGGACCAAATCCCTCTTTGAGAGATGCCTTCCGGGAAGGGGCTCTACTGTGAGTTCCAGAAGGAGAAAGGAAGGCTCTCCCAGTATCAAGCTGGCGTCACTTTCATCCGCGGAATTGCCAAAACTGCTTACCGCTCAGATGGGATCTTGTTCGGAGTCAAGGGAAAAGGGCTGAGAACCAAGAAAATCATGTTCGCAGAGCAAGGAAGCAACCTGAAATCTGTGGAATCCATCCATCTTGAAGCAAACTGACCGCAGAAAATCCTCTAGGCTGTGAGAGTGGCTAGGCCAAAGCCAGTCCACACCTTCAACACCACCAAAATCTTCCATGTACTTCTTCGGCCCTTGGAAAAGGTACACATACTTCCAGTAGTGAAATAGATTCCCTTTAAAACCAATAAGGGGAAAAAATAGAAACAAAATTCTTGCTTCGGCACATGAAGGGAAGGGTCTACGTGGAGTCTCCGTGACCCTTTCAAAATGGGGTCATGACCCATTATTTTGGGCAACGACCCCATCTTAAAGGAGTCATGGAGACTCCACTGCCAGGTATCCCCGAAAAAAGTAAAGTCCAACAGACGCGAGTCTTTCCCTCGGACTCGGCTTCGCTCCCTCGCTCCCTGCCTGCAGCAAAGGTGAGGATCTCGGGCGGGCGTTGGCCCACGAGGCTCAGAAAGTCCTCGCACCGACTCGAGGCTCCAAGCGACTCGAGGCCGTGCTTTTCCTAGGTCCTCCAAGAGGTTAGAATAAGTTGGTCATTACCCGTGTCTTTCTTTCTTTTTTGTCTATTTTAGTAGGGCCACCCTCCCCTAAAAAGGGCAAAAGTACCTGGAGTCTGCTTCTGACCCGAATCAAACATGGGCCAATGACTCCCGGCACGTTCGTGTTGCGATGCGATTGGTAATTGTTTGGCAGCGCTTTTTGCTCTTTCCGTCGCTCTGGCCGTTTGAAACTGCTCTGAGGTGGTTTTGTGGTTCAATGGTTTTGTAACGACCCCATTTTCTAAGGGTCGTGGAGACTCCAGTGTGGAGGTTAGAATAAGTTGGTACCCGAGTGGTTTTTTCTTTTTTGTCTCTTTTAGTAGGGGGACCCTCCAAGCAAAGTTGGTAAAAGGGCACTGCACCTAGTTTCCGATCCCCTGCCAAGAGTTTGAGGTTGGGAATTCGGACCACCAAACCAACGAACAAGATCTATGGAACCGGATGGCTGGGAGCGACCAAGGCAACTGTGGGCCTTTTCTTTTGGCAACCAACGAGTTCAACGAAGTCCGGGTTTCCTTTTGGGCTCCTAGATCAGGTCTGTCTCACTTGCTATCGAGGGGATTGGCCAAAGAAAGGGACCAAACTTTAAACTTACCACTTTAATGGTCTGCTCAAAAAGTGACCTTGATTCCCCATTCTTTTCAACCATCGTTCTTTTCAAAAACCGGATCCGTTTTCCCTGGGTTTCCGGAGGTTTTCTGATCCCTGAGTTCAGAATGGAAATGGAAGTTACCCCTAGGAGGAAGCCAAGGATTCTTTCTGAGCTCATGTGGAGTTCTCTGCCAGATTAAAGATCTCTGCAGAGCAAAAGTGCCTCTCTGAACCCTCTTCACTGTAGGGTGTTCGACAAAAGCAAACTCTCCGTCCTCATGGAGTGGTTTTTCGCACCTAAAGTCCCCAAACTTTACATTCACCACCAAAAATGGTGCAACCCTCAAAGAAGTGACTTGACTCGAGTCCGAACCAGAACTCCGGGAGTGGGCGGTCTGAAGCGTTCTTGCACCTCTCATGCCACCTCGGTCCCGGAAGGAGCCACCCACCAGCAGCGGCAAGATCACCAGAGACGCCACCGCAAAGGCCGAGCCCTGGCGAACTCGATTCGTCCCGAGGTGGACGTCTGAGAAATGCTTTCCCTTACCCCTCCCCTTACCCCCTCTCCATGGGGGTGGGGAGTTGGATACGTTCCAGTACTGCGTCACAAACCGGGCTCCACCAATTGAGGGTGACCTGATCAAGTGTACTTCTCAACATAGGGGCACCTTAAGCATGTGTGGCTAGGTCCTCCAGTAGAGAGGTTAGAATAAGGGTAGCAACATTTTTTCTGTAGTCAATTTTAGTACGGGAACCCTCCCAAAAAAGGGGAAGGAAGGGCACCTAGCTGGTGGACCTAGGTGGCTTTCCTGCCCACCCTTGGCAGAAACAAGCAAAACCACTCGATTGCTGGCGCAAGCCGACAACGGGATGTGGCGAATAGGCTTGCTGCGGAACAAGACGCAAAGAAGGGAAGAGCGCAGTTTGGGTTTTTGTTTCTGCTCATTTTTCGTGGGCTGCACGCAGCAAAGCTTTTTGCTCATAGGGTTGGTGCTCCGCATCAAACCAAAAAGACTGACCTAGACACCCTGGTTGGATGTGCCTAAGCGAACCAAGCCCTGGTCCACTGTGAAGGGAAGCCAAAAGGAGTCCTACCATTCCAAAACCCCTCCCCCAACAGGGCCCACATTCTCGGGTGGTTTTGCCCCAAAAACGCGAACCCCAACCTCCCCGCCCCCCCCCCCCCCACCCCACAGCACGCTCTGCGCTGCCTGGGCCTCCGCAGGCAGCAGCAGAAGCACCGCGCCCAGCAGCACAGAGCTGACGGACACCAAGAACCTCCCAACACGAGCGAAGGTCTGAAGTTGGTTTTCTTATCTAGGTCCTCCAGTAGAGGGGTTAGTTTTTCTGTAGTCTATTTTCGTAGGGAACCCTCCCCCAAAAAGGGCAAAAGGGCAAAAGGGCACTACTGGGGACCTAGGAACCAAACAGGTGCCACCAACCCCGGTGCAGCGCGCGCACGCTGCAAGTGAGAGCGCTAATCGGCGCGAGGTGCCGCCTGTTGATGTGCAGCAGAGACATCCACTGCTGAATCTGCACGACCATGAGCCCAGCCTCCGCGTACAAATCCGCTCACCGAACGTAGGGGAATCAGGAAATGCACCGGTTCTGGGATTAGGAAACCAGCACTTGGAAGGTTCTTCTTGGTTCTCATTCCAAGAAAGCTGCCCAAACTGTTGGCTTCCCACGGTCGGGAAGCCCCTGGAATGTGAAGGCCAAAAACCAGGGAAGGCCCAAGACAAGGAAGCCAGGTGCTCTCTACCGTGGGCAAACACTGCAATTGAAACGGGCACAAAGCGCCACAGAAACAGAAGCCTGGCGCTTTGCACACGCACACACACACACACAGACACACAGCCGAAAAAAAGGTGGGGGAATGCATGCAACAGGAACCCCTGTTCAACGTCAAGGTGGATGAAGTGCTTCCGCCGGATCCTTGCAAGACAGGACCATAGACTTGGACCACCCAGGTCAAGGATAAAACCCGCACAGGGTGGCAATGAGGGTAATTTAATGATAATCCGGCAATCCGCCGTATGGTTGACTCGTTTCCCCCCCCCCCCCCCACCCACCCGCAAATATCAGCCGCAAATATCAGTGTAACGGTGTGGTGCCAGGACTAAAGTTAATCGGCAATGAATTCCCAACTTTTGACTCAAATGATTTCCACTATACTTCTCAACAAGCATGCGGCTGTACAGGCCAAGATAGAACCACACCAAATATGTCTAACCCACTTCTTCTCGGGTCTTGGAGGCAGAGTACGTAGCAGGGTTGCGCCAAACCGCTTGCTCAAACATTTCATAAACCACTGTTGGGTAAAGTAAACTCTTGTTGGTTTGCCCGGGGTCTGGTTGTTGAAAACAAGTCTTGCGCTGAGTGGTTTCTCGGATTGTATTTGGTTCATAGTCCCAAATGGGAGTCGAAAGGGATTATTTGTTTAATGATTCCGGACCCCTTAGATGGAGGCTTCAACATAGGGGGCCAAGCAAATTGAGGTGTGCTGGGTTGTCCTTTGAAACCACGCTGACACTGGCCCCTCCAAAAATCAGACGCCCAAATTTGTTCATCGGTAACCCTCAAGTGGACATCACAATGAGGTGGGGATTAGCGTCCAACCACTTTGCTCCATTTGCTTAAGCCCCCTGCAAAGAATGTAAAAAACTGTCCACTAGTGAAATTGATTCCCTTCAACACCAACAGGGGACATGAACAATATGTGCTTTATCAAATGGCTTTTCTGAGAAACCTTCCCCAAACCAAGCAACAACTGCTCAGTCAGATTTTTAGGGCTCCCAGCCTCCATTTGCTTAAGCCCCATGGAAAAAAAGAAAAATGTTTCCGGTAGTGATAGATTCCCTTTAAAACCAACAGGGGAAAATAACAAATATTCTTAACCAAATGGAAGCCAGAGGGCCCGAAATGCGCCCCTTGAGCGCCCCCCCCAAAACCGCAAATCGAGGCATGGGCAGTGCAAGAGGCAAAGTCATCAAGGCACCGCTCCTGCGAGTGGAATCCACTTGTGGGTCCAATTTGGGCTCCGATTTTCCACAGGTTCAACCGAAAAGTTAGTCCAAAGATCCAACATGATCCAACCAAATAGCCACAAAGTAAAGGAAGTTGTCTTCTGGGGGGGTAATGTCTCAGGGAGAATCAACCCTTTGTGGGGGTGCAATCCAGATGTTCCACTGTTTCGCCCAAAAAGTCAAATCCAAAGATGTAGCCAAATAGCCATAAAAGGAGCCCTGCTTAAAGCGGCTACATGTTGAAAAGGTTGAACATTGCGCTTGGAGATGGCTTCCCCGTAACTGGACTGCCCTCAGATCCCCGGCTAAAAAAGTTTAATCTTTAGTGACCTCCATGAAAACTACCACTAAACACTAAAAGGCTAAGAAGCTAAGAAGATGGCTGGGAGCCACCAAGGTAACACACCATTTGGAGAGCAGTTCCGGGAACTTTTTCAATGCGCCCATGGATGACCCTGCGTCCAACAGCTGGATAATATCCTTGACTCACCCCCTACTCCAAATGCCCTGTTTTCAGGGTATCCAGTCGACCCTCTGCTAAAAAAGGAGGTATTTACCATGGAAAACCAGGTTTTCCAAAAAATACCCTGAAAAAAAGCGGGAATTCTGAGTGGGAGGCATAAGTCCCCTAGTTGGGGGGACTTCTTGAGCGAGGAGAGTCACCACTCCTCAAGAAACCCAGCTGGCCTGTCTATCCCTAGTGGAAAAACATCGGGCCCAACCCCCCAGAAAGGTTCTCAGAACCCTGCTATCAGAGAAACCAGCTACAGGAAATTATGCACGAAGTTAGACAACTACCCACCAAAATCTGGGATTTCCTACAGAATTTCCTGTAGTTGGTTTCTTAAATGCTAAGAACCCCCTCCAATAAGATTCTAAGAACCTGTTGGGTCGGAAAAATGGCAACCGAGAATTGCGCCAATGCAGAGGAAACCCTACGAAGCGGAACGTAGATTCAAAGTGTGCGGGCACAACGGTTGCTTCCCCAAATATAGTTCTGCGGTATCAAGCACTCCCTACAGTTCACCCATGTTTTCTGCCTGGCTTACTTGCAACATCATTCATATGGCCATGAGCTCCATTTTGGGGTGGATGAACATCCATTTGCCACCTATTTTGATGTTCACCAGGAATACAGGGTTTTGACCCACAGCCATATTTGCGTGTGTGTCCTTTCAAGGGAAACTTAAACACCCTTGAAGTCAAAAGCTTGCAGCCCAAAGGAAAAATAATCAGCACTTCGTCTTGATGCATGGCCGTGGAAACAAGAGTTACCTTCCACCTGCGCATGGGAAGATGAGTTTTCCTGGCTTGTTTTGGTTGAAATCGCGTCTAGCTGATTTGTTTTCATTGAAACTTGTTTGAATCTCAGGTCGCCTATCGTGATAGGCCATGGACTTTGGTTGAATCTCCGCAGAAAGGGAACCGTAGCTGTCGCAGTTCTCCAGTCCCAGGCAAAATGAAATGGAGAGGTCAACACCCCGCGCCCTCTCCAGCCTTTGGGGAGTTTGATACGTTCCATGCGTCAAAAGGGACACCAAAAAAAGGTAGCCTCTCTTTCGGCTTCCCACATCAACCTAAGGGCTCCCAAAAACGAACGCCCCTTTCACGGAATCTGCCGGAAACCCTTTCCACTCCTGCGCGGGAGCGGCTGAAATCTCCTTGGCTGGCGCTTTCTCGCCGGAGAAGCATGGAGCTTGGTGAGGTTCCCCCCAAAAAAAGACAAGTACGAAAACTACCAAGAAGGCTCAGCTTGAGTCAACAGCACTCGGCAAAGTGGTGCCCCAGAAACGAATGACGGGCCAAGAAGTGTACCTCAAACCGAGAAACAATCGCATGGAAGGTCACAGCTATACGGCTATTTTGGGCTTACTTGGCTGGAATTAGAACCGCATCAAAAGACCATATTGTTTGCCTGGTTAGTGGAAAACAAAGGGGACTCCAAAAAAGCAAACAAAAAGAAAAGTGTGCTAATTCTGGAGAAAATAATTCAATCGTGGAAATGATACGCTGCGGTACCTTCGTCATGGGCCAGAGTTCGCGCTACCTTCGTTTGTCACTCCTTCAATTTGCCCGCATCCTGCGTCCTACGTTTTGCGGATCCAACGCTGGATGGGCTTTTGGGAAAACCCGAGTTGCCTTGCCTTTTCAACGTTCCCCATCTCGTGCTGAAGACCATCACGCTCATTAAATTTGCCTACTGAAATTGGATCAAACGTAGACCTTCCGCCTAGATGTTCCGCTCGGCATTTCGGCCTTTCCGGCGGCCAGCTACAGGCATTGATTGGCCCAGGACCCTGGCAGCCTTTCGGCCAAAAAGCGAGTCTGTGCCGCGGTCCAGCCATTTTTGTGGGTAGCCACTCTACAACTCTTGCTACAAAAAAAAACAACGCGTTTTGTGCAGCATCCAGTCAAAAATGAACAGAACACCAAAGAACTCAAAAGAAAAGAAAACACGTGCCAAGAACAGTGAAACATATGTTTGATCTCCGGTAGCCACGTGGCAGGAAGGGCTCCCATTCCCAAAGAAGCCGGCACGGAACCAGGACCTCTGGGGTGAAGGGAGAAACCTGCGGACTTGTTTTGGGGGGTCCCAAGAATTGAGCGGTTTCCCTTTCAAACAAGCTGCAAGTCTAGGGGCTGATTCCAACCATTCTTGTCAGCCATCGTTCTTTTCAACGACCAGCCATTTCCCCAGGGTTTTTGGTGGTTTTCTACAAAAAGGATCCCTGGAAAGAATGGGGAAGTTACTCCTAGAGCAACCCGAACAAAAAAACAAGCTGTCAGAACACCACTTGTCACGGATTGCTTTTGGGTATGCATCCAAAACACCGAGACCGCGCAAAGATTTGTGGCTTATCCGGCCTCGAGCCAACCTCAAAGGGGAAACGAACCTCTTTCTCCTTGGTCGCTTTAGACCGCATTCTAGGGCTACCTTCCATGTCCATTCTTTCGACTGATCCGAATCTTTTCAGGAAACAGCAAAAAGCCAGAATAAACGGCCGGTTTTGGAAAAAGAACGATGGTTGAAAAGAATGGGGAGTCAACCCCTAGAGACATGCAACAACATAGCATTTTGCTGGACACTTGTGAAAAACAAGAAGGAACCAAACAAACCACAAGTTTAGTTACCCTGGCCCCCAACCCCCCCCCCCCCTTGTGGTGGACTAATGAGCACCATTTGTGGAAGTTCGTTCGGCAAACCCGCTTCAAGTAGTTGAACAAGGAGCGCCGGGTCTGTCAACCCAATCGCCCTTTCACATAAACTTAGTTTCCCTCACGGCTGGTAAAAACAATAAAACACTTATAAGTCTTGCTCTTTTGAATCCTTTATTCCCCAAACAGCTTGTCTGCACTAAGGCGCGCCCTTTTATGTTTAAACTAGGCTGTCCTCAGATCCCCTGCTAAAAGTTTAACTTTTAGTGGGTTAAATGGAAACCCCCACTAACCCCTAAAAACATCTAAAAAGCTAAGGAACCGGATATGGCCGGGAACCACAAAGTAAATAGATGTCAATTCCTTTCGTGGCTGGTAGGTCAGACCTAGGGCGCGGGCAGCTTCTCTCTCCTTGTCCTTCAACGCCGCGACCTTCGCCTAGGGGCGAAAGGGCTGATTGAGGTGGGGGTTTCTGGGGGCCCACTCACTTCCGAACGAGTCGATTGGCCAAAGCAAGTCTGAACTTTCTATTTACCACTAAAAGGGTTTGGACCCACCAAAGTGACTAAAGCACTGCACCCCCACACCCCGAATGAAAGGGGAAATTGTGCCTGTGTCTCTGCTTTTGGCGGATTCATAGAAAAAAACAAATGGGAATCATGAAAACATCCTTAAGGGCCCACTATTTGATGCAATGACGCCTACTCTAAAGATTGGCAGACACCAAACTCTGGCCACATTTAGCTGACACTCTCTGTCAACAAGGGCGCTCATTTGGCAGTTCCATTCCCAGAAACAAATTGGCAGGGGGTAGCTCACTAGTGTGGAAACATGACAGGCGGAGAACTGCGGTGTTTGAGCCCTGCAGCGTTTGACACGAGTTGTCAGTTTGCTCGGGCGTACCCTGAAAGGAATCAAGCCCCAAAACTAAGGGAAATCACCAACCTTTGATCGCTTTTGGGATTGTCTTAAAGGGAAGCCGGTTCCCAGTGTCTTTTGCTTTGCAAAGCAAGATATTGCCTTGGGTTGCTCACCTCGAATTCCCAAGGTCTCCCCTTGCTGACATTAGGTGCGACAAAAAAGCCTCGAGTGAGTCGAAGGCCTGCGGAAAGTGCATGCGATGCATCGTGTCTCTCTTGATTCACGTGTTTTGGAATACCCCAAGGGAAGCCTTTCAATGGGGGTGTCCCCCTTTCATTGGACAAACACGCCCAAACCAAAACGCCTGCACAAACAGCTTTCATTTGATCTGTGTGCATCGTGGGTTTCCTTCCTTCTGGAATACCATTGCAAGAGTCTCCCAAAGAGGTAGATCCCATGCCGACCACAAAAGGGCCCGTTTCGAGCTAGATCACATGTATCGGTTCATATCGGTTCTTTTTCAAGCAAATCCTCCGGCTCTCACTTCCTGAATGGATGGGCCCAAAAAAAAGAGAGTCCAAGTTTGTTTACCAGAAAAATGGCCACCAACCCCCAAAAAGGTGACTTGACTCAGGTCCGAGTCCCGAAACTCAGGAAGTCAGGGAAAACCCCATCTTGGGGGGATGAAGCAATGGAGGCATATGGTTAAAGGGGAAAGTCAAGTTTGTTTTTTGAAGAAACTTGACGGCTCATCAAGGTAAAGGCGGCGAGGGCATCTTGGGGCCCGGCTGCGTCCACTTTCTGCTCCGCTTCTTCTGCCTGCTTCTCTTTGGCGCTCGCGTTCTTCAGCTGCTCCTGCAACGACCTCAGCCGCTGAGAAGACTTTCGCGCGAAGATCCGGGCGACCAGCAACGGGTTGAAACAAAAACTTCGGTTGGCTGTGTTGCTTGTCTTGCTTTTGATCAGAACGACAGCAGAACAGGGATCCTTACATTATACACCTGGACATTGCCTTCTAAATGGTGGTGTCCCTTTATTTTGGTGGAAAAAGCAATGTTTCAAATGGGCTAAAACGTATCTTTTAAGGAGCCCTGCAGAATCTGCTCTGTTTAATAACAACCCAAGGTTTTTGCGTGTTTTGTAGTGTTCCTTGAACCAAAAAAAGAGAGACAACAATTCCGATTGTTTTTTGGTTAAAACAGAACAACCCAATGCGCTTGTAGAAGAAATAGCCCCTTGGCGTTGCATGAGTCGCAAAACAGCCAAGCTCTGCGTCGATAGGCCCGTTCTCGAGTGGTTCGCTGAAGTGAGGGTTCGGGCTTTGCTGCTCTTCGGCCTCCAAATGACTTCCCCTGGCTAGCTACGACTCCTCAGCTGTTCAGTGACTCTGGCAAAAAAGCTTTTTGGGGAAGACCATTTTTAGTGGGGGAGCCACCCAAAAAAGAAGGTGCCACTGAACAACTGAGACTCGGGTGTCCTTCGGTGCTTTGCAGCCCGGCGGTGTGGAGGCTCGGCTAGGGTGAGCCTTCCCATCTACCCTCAAGCAGAAGAGGCTCAACCCATCCACCAGGCTCCAAACCACCCAAGGGGTTATGGGAACTATAGTGGCAACCGCCAATGCCCAAGCTGCCCACCTTCAAGAAACACCCCCATCTAAGCCAAGAACACTCTGGAAGATGGATAAGGCTTCGTATCCTCCGCTGGAGTCAATGTTGCAAAGGATGTTTCAAGCCAAGTATATCCAACTATAGCAAATCGCCAGCACCAATACACATGCACGCCGAAAAATCGCACTACATCGAGTTCAGTTGCTTTTCTTACGTTTTCTCGATGGCAACTATTGTTTCTGCCATTCGCCTCAACTTTGAGACACGCCAACTTAGGCACAAGTTCCAGGGAAACCAACTTTGAGACAGACCCATCCTCAGCTTCCCGCCGATTGGTTTGGTTGAGGGGGGGGTTCCCAGTCTCGAACCAGGGCTTCAAATCCAAAACCACCAGGCTCCAAACCAAGTGGTGGAAAGCTGACACCAGGTAAAGATCTAGACAACGGGTTGAAACAAATGGGATTCTTGCGCTCTCACTCTTTTTTCTGGTATTTCCCATGTGTCCCTCCTTTTGCGGGTGTTTTATTTCTTAGTACCCTCTTGCTCGTTTGATATCTATAGAGGGGTGAGAAAATCCCCACAGCTTCGCCCCCAAAAAAATCGCTCGCTCGCTCCTCGGTGTCTCTTCGGCTTCCTCGGTTTCGGAGGGCCCATCGGAGGAATCGAGCCCCGGCCGGCCTGAGCTGGGCCTCCAGGGCGTCCTTGCGGCTCTTCCACCGCGCCTCGGGATCCCTCTGGATCCCCAGCTCCAGTTGAACTTCAGCCCGGGGAAAAAGGGAAAAAACGAAAATGTCCGGGAGCGATACATTCCGAGGAAAATAGGAATAGAAGCAAGAATTCAAGTAAGCAAGTAGTAGGAAACCACCCGTGTTCCCCCGGTTTAAAGGGCTCCCTTGGTTACCAACCGGGAATTGGCATCGCTGGGAAAGCTAGTGAAAGGGGCTGAGAAACCCGATACAAACATCATCAGGGCAACTTTGAGGATGTTGGGGACGTTTATTGGAATTTGCCGAATGCTAACTTGGGGAGTGCACCTATTTTAATGTAATCCCTACAGTTTATAAATGATGGGTAAAAATCAACATAAAAATGACCGAGCCTCCAATTGACTACCTAAGGTTCCACAATGTACACCCAAGCGCCCCCAAGCCCTCGCTCCTTGGTCATGCTTGGCTACAAGGATAACCCATTTTGTTGGGTAAACTCGTTCAACCAGCCCCAGTTTCTAATAAGAGGGTGTCGCTGGGTTTAGTGGGGAACATTCCCTGTTAAAAAGCCTGGGTTGATTAATATGGGGTCAACATTAGTCCTTGAGGCGACTTCACTGATCTTCAGCACATCGCGCCTTCTCAGCTTCGGCTTTCTCGGCTTTCTGCAGCGAGCTTCGAGAAATCTCCTGGAGATGTCCAGACTCGGAGCGGTCAAGCGCTTTCAGAAGCCCAACTTTAGCGGGATTGAACGTGGTGGAGTGGTCGGGGAGTGTGTTCCCACTTGAAGGAGCCCATGATCTGATAAAAAGGACACCCCCGCGTCTCCCACTAGTTCTTGTTAGCATAGTTTGGCCATTCGGGAGTCTTTTGTGGACCAGGAGAATCCATACTTTATCCCCTACATGGAATTGGGGCAAACCCTAGAACTTCATTCATGCTGTGGGCGGGCAGCATCCACTTCGCAGCAGTTGCTAGGTGGCCTATCAACCATCATCTTCAGAAACCCCATCAAACAGGGAATTCCTTGGACCAACTTGGCACACAGTCCTTCCCAAGACTTCATGTGTAACTTCTGGAACCCAACAACTCACTTCCGACCAAGTGGATTGGAAAAAACGGGTCGAGCTAATTTGTTGCTTACCACCAAAATGGGAAAAACCCAAACCACTGAAGTCCACAGGCTCAGGAAGTGAGCAGGATTTTGTTCCCAGTTGAAGCTCTGAATAACCCCCCGCACCTCAAGGCCCCGGATTCCTTCAAGCCATGGGGAGTTCGAAGGGGTCAACGTGAGAGAGTCAAAGGAGCTGAAAAGAAAACCAAAGGCAGCTACTCCGAGCATAGCGAACAAACTCCACTTAAGGAACTTCCTTGGCATGGAAGAAAAGAGTCAAAGGTCTTTGCCAGTTGGAAGGACCCATAGGTGTGCTGGATTCTGGCATGTTCTCCAAACAAGCTCTCTCTGGGGCGATGCTCACAAAGACCAACCATCTTGGTTGCTGTTGACCCCCTTCAAAAAGTTCAACTGTTTGTGGGTGCAATGGACATGTCCTATTGGTTCACCCAAACAGTTAAAGTCCAAAGATCCCATTTGGTGGAACATATATATTTTTTGTAGGTAAAGAACCGATTTATCAACCCCCATTTGTTCACGATAGCCATCAAGCTAACCCTCGCTTTTGTTGGTTTTAAAGGGAAGCCAAAGGGGAAGCCAACTTTCTTGGGTCCCTTTTGAGACAAACCCTCCAAACAAGTCCCAACCACCTGGTGGGTTTCTATCTCTAGGTCAGGGGGTGGTAGTCAGTGCCTCTTCAGCTCAGAGTCGGAGCTCCCGCCCCTGGAACCCTGGAACGTTGCTGTTGGGGAGCAAACCGGGATGAATCCTCTTTCTCAAGGCTGGGTTAATCCTCTTTCTGCACAACTCCAGCCATATTACCCGCTCCTTTTGGGTAGCAAACCGAGATGAATCTTCTCTCCCGCTCCTTTCAAAAACCAAACAAAACACTTTTCTGGTGGCGATTCCTTCATTAAAAAAAAAAAAAAAAAAAAAAAACATCGGCCATCTCGTGGTTGACGTTGGAAGGGGAGCTAAAATTTGATTTGTTGGCAGTTTAGTGGTTGGATTTCAACCACGCAACCACACTAAGCCAACATGTAAAAACAACTGTTTCCCCAACCACAACCATGACAATGGCAAAAAGAGCTGCGCAATGTAGCCGTTGGTTCCAAAGCTCTGAGGCTTTGGCTTCTGTGCTTCCATCCCCAACCCCGAAAACTCGCCGCTTCTTTTGGGAGCTTCGGCGTCGGGTCCCGCGGTTTGGCGCCTCGGCTTCGGCGGCCTTCTGCGAAGCCGCCTGTGCCAGGCCGGACAGCTCCAGCGCCCGCGCCTGGCGCAAAGCGAAGGGCGCCCGAAAAGGCGCCCGGCGGTCTCGCCGGTTGGTTGTTGTTGTGATTTTTCCTTCTTCTTTTTGTTCTTTCTCGGACTGAAACCCTGGCGTCGGCGTTTTTCCGCTTTTGGTGCTTTGTTTTCTCGGCTTTCCGGTTTTCCGGTTGGTGTTCCGTTCCAGCAAACAAAAAAAAACAAGGTATGCCCGAAGAAAAAAAAACACCCAAGCGTGTTGCGTGAATCAATCCCCATTGCGCGGAGTGCGTGATCACCAAAGGCGGCAGGCAAGCGTTCTTTTTTTTCTCGAGGAACAAGTCCCAATTCCCTGCAAAGTACGCTGCAACCCACTTGGGGACCGACAACAAGTCCAAAGATTGTCAGGTGAAATGTATGATCTTTGTGGAAATTGCAACTTCTATTACACTACCACAACACCCTTCCCATGTCTGCCAAAAGTGCCTCGCTTAGCAAGCTGCATGAGGCCGCTTGCTTTTTTGTTCCTTCTCGTTTCGGGTACCCCCAACATGGTGGTTATAAAAACCGCAAACACATCCCAAAAAAAACACAGACCCACCTTCTGCCAATATCAACTACGCTCCCGCCTCCTTCTCCTGTCTCACGGCCGTCACTTTCGCCAATAGCACGTGGCACTGCTCCACGCTGGAACTGGCGATAAAAAACAAACATTCGTCGCATAAACCCCAGGACTCATGTGGATGTCCACGGGAACCTGTTAATTTCAAGAAAGAGATCTGAGCTTCGTCCCCACCGAACAAGGAAGGAACTTCTTTGTGATGGGAGTTGGCTTTAAGGTGAGATCCCTTTAAACAACTGTTGGAACCATAACCAAGCACCCTTTTTCTGGTGGTCGATGTACGGAATGGGATCACACGCATCTCGCCAGTGGTGCTCATACAAAAAGGCATCTTGCTTTTTGTTTTGCCATAACGTTGTCCCCGTAGTAAATCCAGTTGATGAAAATGCCCCTGGCTTTGGCTTTTGAAGGGGCCCCCACCGGGAATCAGACCACTTTTGGAGGAGCCCCCACCCCGACTCCCCCATGAAAAACCCGGGTTTATTTTCATATGGGGTCAACCTTACAGCTGCTACATATGGGTGTGGGTCAAGAACAAGTACCCAAAATGAGACCCAGGTAAATGGAAGCAAGGACTCAAACCTGCGGTTTTCTGATGGATTTATAGTGACCCCTATCCATATCTGAACACGCACCAAGGTTCTCTGTGCACCAAGCCAGGCCTTAAACGCCGGCCCGGCTTGTCGCATGGCTCTCTCCCCAAGATATTCCCATGGTGCCTGAGAGCCCAAGAGGGGAGCAAAAAACAATTCTCATAGACCTAGGGCTTGGTTCCTTGTCCATTCCGTTCGACCATCCTTCTCTTCACAAAATCGATCGCCATTTTGCCACTTGGTTTCTGGAGCGTTTGCTGGAAAGATTCGGATTCCTGGAAAGAATGAAAAAAATAGCCCAAGAATAGAGGGGAACCCAAAGCGACCAAACCAATGCTCTACAGAGTTCACTGGATCTCCCTTGCAAACGGTGGGACAATTTGCGGGTGGTTTGCTCTAACTACTGCAACTTTTGGAGGTCCAAAAGGGACATTGAGGAACGATCTTCGATCAAAGTACAAATCCACTCAAGGGAATTGGCTGCTTTCTGAAGAGCAGGATGAATATCTGAATGTAAGTTGAACCTCTTGAGGCTCCCTCTCGGAGCCCCGGCTGGTCGCGGAACAGTCACTTCCCTCGCCTTTGCAATGGGCATTGTTTTGGACGCCCAAGTTCACGCCACTTAAGGGCTAAAATTCCACAAACAAGCAAGTCCCCCATGTGAGTCAATGGCAAATCCATTTTGGGGGAATCACGAAGCTGGGGTTCTCCGGATCACTTTCTGGGGAGGATCAAAGCCACGTCTGCAGAAGATCTCCAACAGGCCGGGGGCACCACTTCCATGCATGGATCCCCACCTGACCCAGACGCGGGCGACCACAACTGGCTGGTTTCAGAGACCCGACGCGTTGGTTCCTGTTGCGTCAGCCAAAAAAGGGTCGGGGTCGAAGCAAGTGAGGAACATCATAAGCCTGGTAGATCTTAAGGAAGGGATCTCGGTGTTGTCAGCACAGTCAACATGGTGGGTCCAGAAGGAGCTGCGGCAAGAGAGAGTTGGTCAAGATGACATTGCCCAACACGAGAGACTTGACGACTGGACAAAAGGCAGACCGATTTCTGGCAAACAGTTGATGTCTGATGTGCAGAGCGGTCCTGCGTCGGAGTGGGAGGCTTCGGGGACGCGCAATTTGTAGTGGAACCCTCCTATCTCTGGACTTTGGTTCGCCCAGAAAGTGCCAAAAAGCCCCTCACATCCTCCACAAGCTGCCAGAATACCATGGGAGAAGGTACCCTTTTTCTGTAGCCTATTTTATTATGGGAACCCTCCCAACCAAAAAAGGAAACGGCAAAAAAGGCACTACTGGGGGACCTAGTTGCGCAACCTGGGGACGGGGAGAGCGCTCGTCCCGAAAACATGCTCAGGAAGTTCGGAGGCTGGTCGTCCCAGCCTGGGCTGTCTGAGTTTTCGGATCCCCCACTAAAAGTGAACCAACCACAACACCTAATAAAAAGATCAAAAAAGCTAGGGGGATGGCTGGCAGTGGAACTTCCTCGCCAGTTTGCGAGACCTTGCGAGACCTCCGCGAGTTCGTTTCGAGCCTGTAGCACCAAGGCTGCCCTGGGCGATGCTGCGACGCGTGAAGAGACGTTCGAAGCTGTGCGTCGTTGGTTGAAAGGGCAAGGAGAGGGTCTTCTTGGCACCAGGTCGAGCTATTCCCCTTTGGATGGTCTTCAATGCTCAGTTCCTGAGTGGATTGGCCAACAAGAAGTCGGAACTTGTTATTTACTACCAACATGGTCTTCCCAACAAGTTTAAAGTCCAGGAACTCAGGAAGTGAGAATGTATTTGTTGTGCTTAGGACCTCAGTGAAGCTGGGTCACAAGATCATAATAAACCAAACAAACAAAAACTCGTGTCACCAGAAAGGTCTTCAAACAAACTCTTTCCGCTTTCAGGCCCACTTCACTTAGCCCGATTGTTCTTAGTGTCAAAGAAACTTCGGGCCATCTCAAGTTGAATTTGATGGATCCGGGAGAACCCGAGCCTTAATTCGAGGTCACTGAATTGGCAACCACCTGTAGGTTGAAAACCCGGCTCAACTGCAATGGGCGCCCATGGAGAGCAGTGCCCCAAAGGTAATTGAAAGCTGGGAATGTTCTTGGCATTGGGTGAACAAGACCCTAAGGTGAGCTCGATTTACAGGTGAGATCAGCTAGAACTTGCCCTGATTCTGGACTCGCATACAGGGGTCCTGTCAGGATGCACCCAAAAACATCCAAAACCACTTTCGTCACCTACCCGGCTAAGAGATCCAAACCACAAATCGCAAGTGGAAGCTCAACGTCGCAGGTCAAGATCTTTTCAAGACCACTACGCTTTTCAAGCAGCTGGAGGGGCCCGACCGACAAACGGCCCCACTTTTCGCTAAACTGGGGCTAGGGAACTGGTTCCTTTCGCAGAAATGGCAAGGGATTGGCAGAATCTGCTCACAGCGCTCAGCATTTGCGAACGACAAGGCGAACCAAGTGAGCCGTAGCCAAAATGCAGGCCGTCCCCAACGAATCTGCAAATATGCCCTTCAGAGCAAACCAAACAGGGTACCCTAAAGCAAAGACACTCCCACATGCTTGCTTGCATACTCCAACTGCGATGCAATGTGTATGCCTCAGAAGGCTTTGATTCTGCCAAGGGGCCGCAGCATCGCAACCTGGGCATCGGGCAAAATTAGGCTCAGCCATATAGACATGGGATATGATTGAGTCCAGTGGCCTTCCCAGGGTCTAGTTTGAAAGCTCGGATTCTGGATGTTCAAACATATAGGGTTTGTCCCCTCTCCTGGTTGGGAGACTTTTGGGGCTAAACCGACCAGAGACAACCGGATATTTTGACCGTGCTTTGGAAGGGTCGTGGCCAGCAAACGGTGGTTCAATCGTCAACTCATTTGGCTTTCCCTTTGAAAATCGATCACTCCCTGAATTGCAATCTCGGGAAGCCGTTTCCAAACAATTCCCTCAATGAGACAAGTACTGCTCTACTACGGCCACGGCTGAACATATTTCAGCCAACACTCAACAAAAGCTACGGCCTAAAGGGCTATGGCGAAAATGCCAGCGTGCCTGCTAGTGGGCTAGCAGGCTTGATATGGCCTGTTCCAAGATGCTAAGGTCCGGCTTGTTGATCCCGACTGACAATCCCCAGTCCAATCAACTATCCAAATGCATTGACATAATTACATATTCTCTTATCTCCTGAGATTGGGCAACACAAGTCTGAGCTGTTTCCTTAACAAATACTAAACTGATGTTCCTGAAAAAGTGTCCAGAAACTGGGAAAGTCAAAACACCAACTGCAAAAATTCCGCCCGATCTTTCTGAGCACCCACGCCAGCGCCATGCGAAACCGCCGCTCACATGAGATCTCTTCAACTAAGGAGCTCGGCTCACTCTGCCTAAGTGAATCTGAGCTCAACCAAAACTCTGCAGCTTTGCGATCAAAAGATTTGCCCGTCAGTCCCGATGGGTGTTTCTCTGTTTTGGGTCTGGGTCCGATTCTCGTCGCCCGTGCGATTGGGCACTTGAGCCAGTGCCTTCATCGCAAAGTTATAGCTGGATCATCCCGACGTGCAGCTAGGCCACTTCCCCCCCCCGCTGACTCCCCTCGTTTGATCTTGACATTTGGAAATCGGGGGCTGTGATCGCGGACCTTATTTGAAACAAGGAGGCTGGACTACCTTGATCCTACAAAAGCCATCTGGAGAAAGCATGCGTATCGCCAAGCAGATCTTTGAATCTATCTTGTGGCTCTCCAGAGAGGAACGCCTGCTGGTTAAATACGTACAGGAAAGCCCACGTAGGTCGCATTTTGGGCTCGCAAAGCTAGGAAGCAAACTGGAAGTTCCCCAGCCTCAACTCCCAAGTGGATGGCCCAAGCAAACAGTCTGAACTTGTCTTCAAACTGGCCACCAAACCCGGACCAGCGACTAATGCCCACTCAGGAAGTGTGAGCAACCTGGGTCCCTCGAACATGGTTTTGGCTCCCGGGTGAGGTTCTCCGTTTCAGAAGGCAGGGCGTGTTCATTGGAGTGGTGATGAATTTGAGGGACCTGACACAGAATCGCTGAGCGTCGAACAGGGGGTCTGGAAAACACACACACACACACATCCCCTTCCAGCCCATCCCCCCCCAGTACTAGGAAGTTTGAACATGGGAAACAAATCGCAGTTGTTGGGGGGTGCTGGTGGCTTCCCCTTGTGGTAACTCAAACATGAGCCATTGAATTCGCACGAATTCGAATCCGCGAAGGCGAATTCGCCCCGTTTCTCGCGAGCCGCCGTGTCGCACTCTGCTCGGCAGAGGCGATCCTATAGCACCTGGAGGATTCTCAAAATAGGAATCGGCCCCCTAGACCTAAAATGGTTGGCTTTGTTTTGGTTTCCCTTCAATACTTCAAGGGAAGCCGAGTCCGTAATGGTTCGTTGACATGTTGCTTTCCGGTTAAAGAGCAACCACCAGTTTGAGAAACACTCACTTGTCAAGACACGTTGGGAATGTTTGCAGTCCAGAATCACAGGGCACTTTAAGCAGGGCCTGAAATGCAGTAAACTTTGAACCTTCCGGAAGGTCGGCCGCGGGTCAACCTTCGAGCAACTGAGAAGACACACCAAAATAATTCGTTGCAGTAGCCGGTACCCTACAAAACATGCCCTCCAAGAGGAAACTAATCTTCCAGCCCTCGCACAATGAGGAAAGGCAATAATTTTGTCGTTCATTAATATGTCTCCATTATCAAGTAATCCGCCGACCCCTTTGCAAAAGCAAAGTTAGTCTCTGCAAAGGGGCGAGGCGTGTTCTAAGTGGTGGTTAGGGGGAGTCTGAGGGGGGGAGGGGGGGTCCCGCAGCGGATTTTTGACACGCCTAACCTCTAACCCTAACCTCTAACCCTAACCTCTAACCCTAACCTCTAACCCTAACCTCTAACCCTAACCTCTAACCCTAACCTCTAACCTAACCTCTAACCCTAACCTCTAACCCTAACCTCTAACCCTAACCTCTAACCCTAACCTCTAACCCTAACCTCTAACCCTAACCTCTAACCTCTAACCCTAACCTCTAACCCTAACCTCTAACTTTAACCTCTAACCGTGAGGATGGATGATGATGATGAAAGACTAGGAAGATGACGGAAGACTACGGGAAGATGACGGGAAGCTGACAGAAGACTACGGGAAGATGACGGAAGAGTACGGGAAGCTGACGGGAAGATGACGGAAGACTGCGGGAAGATGCCGGAAGACCACGGGAAGATGACGGAAGAGTACGGGAAGATGACGGGAAGCTGACGGAAGACTACGGGAAGATGACGGAAGACTGCGGGAAGCTGACGGGAAGATGACGGAAGACTACGGGAAGAGAACGGAAGACTGCGGGAAGATGGCGGAAGACTACGGGAAGATGACGGAAGACTACGGGAAGATGACGGGAAGATGACGCAAGACTACCGGAAGATGACCCTACTCTAACCCTAACCTCTAACCCTAACCTCTAACCCTAGCCTCTAACCCTAACCTCTAACCCTAACCTTTAACCTTAACCTCTGACCTTAACCTTTAACCCTAACCTCTAACCTTAACCTCTAACCCGAACCTCTAACCCTAACCTCTAACCCTAACCTCTAACTTTAACCTCTAACCGTGAGGATGGATGATGATGATGAAAGACTAGGAAGATGACGGAAGACTACGGGAAGATGACGGGAAGCTGACAGAAGACTACGGGAAGATGACGGAAGAGTACGGGAAGCTGACGGGAAGATGACGGAAGACTGCGGGAAGATGCCGGAAGACCACGGGAAGATGACGGAAGAGTACGGGAAGATGACGGGAAGCTGACGGAAGACTGCGGGAAGATGACGGAAGACTACGGGAAGATGACGGAAGACTACCGGAAGATGACGGAAGACTACGGGAAGATGACGGGAAGCTGACTACGGGACTGCGGGAAGATCACGGAAGACTACGGGAAGATGACAGAAGACTACGGGAAAATGACGGAAAGACTACGGGAGATGATGGGAAGATGACGGAAGACTAAGGGAAGATGACGGAAGACTGCGGGAAGACTACGGGAAGAGGACGGAAGACTATGGGAAGCTGACGGAAGACTACGGGAAGCTGATGGGAAGATGACGGAAGACTGCGGGAAGATGACGGAAGACTACGGGGAGATGACGGAAGAATACACGAAGATGACGGAAGACTACGGGAAGATGACGATGATGATGATGATGCTGATGATGCTGCTGAGGATGATGAAGATGATCTGATGATGATTTTGATGATGATGCTGATGATGATGATGATGGTGATGCCGATGATGATGATGACGCCGCTGATGATGATGACGATGATGATGATGATGATGGTGACGAGGATGATGATGATGATCAGGAGGATGATGAGGATGATGATCTGACGATGGTGCTGATGCTGGATGATGAGGATGATGATGCTACTGAGGCTGAGGATGATGATGGATGATGATGACGACATGGTGGATGATGACGATGATGATGATGCATCGTCCTCATTCATCAGGTTGAGCAGCATCATCGTCATCCTCCTCATCATCATTATCATCAGCGGCGCCATCATCGGCCTCGTCATCCAGCATCATCATCAGCCTCATCATCCCCGCATGAAGCCAGACGTTGGAGAAAAATCCGGCCCTTGTTATCGCTGAGAGAAAGCCCGGCTCTTCTCCGTCCCAGACCAAAAAGCAGCTTCCGCATCCCCAGCATGCCAGGCATCACCCCAGACACCTGCAGGATGATGCCGGTGAAGCGGGGGATGCAAAAGCTGCCTTTTTTCCCGACATTCGAAGACCAAAAAGGCAGTTCCTGCATCCCCAGCAAGCAAAGCATCACCCCGGGCACCTGCAGGATGATGCTGGTGAAGCGGGGGATGCAAAAGCTGCCTCTTTTTCCAACATTCGAAGACCAAAAAGGCAGCTCCTGCATCCCCAGCAAGCAAAGCATCACCCCGGGCACCTGCAGGATGATGCTGGTGAAGCTGGGGATGCAAAAGCTGCCTTTTTCTACAACGATGGAAGACCAAAAAGGCAGCCCCCGCATCCCCCATGCGAGACCTTGGCGCCGATCCTGCTGAGAGACGGAGAAGGGCCAGAGTTTCTCCAACGTGTGTGATGCTGTTACGGGGGTCGGCGGCATCAGGCGTCAGCCTGCTAAATATTCGTGGGACCTGTCTGGTGGCCATTTTCCTAGGGATTTCTGGGACGCTTCTTTGATGTAAGGGTTCAAAGGTCCTGATTGTCTTGGGCTCAAGGCGAAATCTACATGACACCAACTGGTTGCGCCACTTTTGCTGGCTCATATTGTAGCAGGCACCTTGATGTATTTAGTCAGTAGTCAGGCAAGCTACTACATGTATCCAATCAATTGCCAATGTTTGAAGTACCTCTCTCTGACGTTAGAATCTCTGCAGGGGGTGTAAGAGCTAATAAGCTAATGATACAAGGTGATAATGATATATATATATATATATATATGTTTTAATTAAGAAAAAAAAAGCTGATGCGGGGCATGCACAGAAGTTGAACACGGACGCCTGCGGTGGACATCATTCTTACCAACATTGTGTGATCCTCCCGAACATCATGATCATAAACTGGGGGAGCTAAGCTGTCTCTGAAATCTTTGGCATTGCAGTCCCATCGCGATGTACTGGCAATGTACCAGTCCCAAAAACAAGAGGAGAAGCTGGTATATAAGTATGACTGCCATAGACTCAACAGGTGACTGGCAAGAAGGGACACCGCCGAGCATGCCTTGAGGCTCGAGGCAACCACAGGATCTTTATGCTGGCGAGTTGCCTGCGGCTCCTGCTCACAAAAGGAGCATCATGCACGCAATGACCTTGGCCGCACTACCCTGGTAAGAAAAAAACGACCGCAAAAAACAAATCATTCAAAGGGGTCCGCCTTAGTCATGACACAAGGCTGATGTTGAAGGGGTCTACCTAACATGCCCAGAATCAGCGATTTCTGGCTGGGGCTAGCCACCCGCTGGCGGACGTGCCACCGGTTCTCGGGTTTTCCAGGCAGTCCCCCTTTGGCTAAGGTATTCCCCCTCTTCCTTCTGGATGCCCTCAGATCCCCAACTAGAAGTTTAACTTTTAGTGGGTCAAATTAAACTACCACTAAACACTTTAAGTGGATGGCTGGGAGCCACCAAGCCTTCCATGGTGTGCTTGTGAAATCCCACCAATCTGGCTGGCGTTTCGAGCCTTCACCGACGGCGCAAAGAAATGACGCATCTGGTTCAAGTTTCTTGGAACCACCCCTACTGTGGATGGGCGAGATTATTGCACCACGAAACCATGGTTGCAACCATTCTTGGTTGATATTTGGGGAATCGCATCATTCCAGGGTTCGTTAGGTGGTGCGAGACTCGCGGACTTCGCAACCATCCACAGAATGACACAGGGCAAAGGGTACCCTGTCCTCCCCTGTAGCTATCGGAGGCTACCTGCAAGTTCAAATGCCTACAGGGGCCATTTCCCCATGGGTGGAATGTTATATAGGAAGAGAACGCTTTTTGGGAGGTCTCTTTCCTCTCCTCTCCTTTCTGAGACAAGAAACAAAGCAAAACCGTAGTTTGGGAGTCAAAATAACTTAGGCCCCGTTCTTCTCTTTCAAGAGAGGCCCCTTTCTTTTCCTTTTTTCCGAGACAAAACCCCAAAACCCACACCCAAACCCTTGCTTCCAAGCGGCCGCGCTGGCGAAAGCCCATGGCGCCGCCGCGGACTTGAGAGTCTGGGCGTGATTTCTATAAGGCCAGGGAGGTCCCTACTGAGCTGAGACCCCGCATGAAACATGGCGCCCCCCCCCCCCGGCATTAACAAGGCGGAGTAGAAAGGTACCCCCCCGCTTTTGTGTTGTATTTGGTTTTTCCCTGGGGGGGAAGCCATTCATGCGGGTTCTCAGTAGTAGGGACCTTTTTGGGCGTTGGTAGGCGTTTCACCGCTTTCTTGTATGTCTTTTGCCGTGGCGTCAAGCACCCTCGGAGAGGGCTCTTTTTCCCCAAAAAGCAACAACAACTACAAGTGGGGAGGGTGCTAAGTTTTCTGCTCGGAGAGGATGTTCCATCTTTTTCTTCCATGTTGTTTAACAAAAACCAAATGGTAGACGCCAATATTCAGGGATCTCCTTTGGAAACTGCAACACGTACCTGTCCAGTCTGCAAATTCTACAATACGTACTCCATACTGTTGGTGGTTGCGAAATCCACTTATCACTTGAGATAGATGAAACCCTATTAAACAATTGAGGTACACCACCAATCCCAAGTGGTGCGAAGCGGAGTTTGTCCATCCACAGTAGTGCCGGAAATTCTAAAGAATGCAATAAGAGTGGGATCCCAAGTATATAAGGGACCTACATCATGGTAAGCGTTTCCGCGTTACCCCGGATCGGTAAGCTCAGCATCCGGTTATTCACAGCTTGGGCAATTCAAGAGAGTTGGCTGGCTAGAGGCTAGAAACGTTAACATGTCGGCCATAGCTTATATTTTGACCCTAAACGCAAAAGATAGAAAGCCACGTGACAACAACAGTTTGAAGATTGAAGATACCGCACACAAACAGACCCAGAAAAACCTGGGATCCAATCAACCATTAAACCAATGGGGGTTAATATGACCATCTTTGTTTACGTAAGGGTGTCATCATCTAATTTGGGTCCTTGCCATTCATTATTCGGGGCAAGGAACCTTAGGAAAAAAGAATTCCCCACTAAACCCAGGAACGCCTCTCTTAGTAAACAGGGGTTGGTGAATATGCGGTTGCTCCCGACTCCCGGCCTCTCGCACGCGCGGGGGATCGCAAGTCAATTCATCCGCAGGGCAGAAGGCTGCAGCCAGCTCACCTCACCCGGGCCCCGGGGCAAATCTCAGTTCCGTGACCCTGGAGAAAAAAAACACGGAACCAATTCTTTTTGGGGAAGAAGGACCATTTTTCAGGGCTCCCTATATTTCCCCCTTTGAACATCACCCAACAGGAAGGTCCTTTTAACTTGGCCCAAAAGGCGATGTCTAAAACCACTAACAGGGGAAATGCAGGGAGCCCTGTTTTTAGTGGGGCAGCCACCGAAAAAGGAAGAATAATTGTTGCCACTGAACAACTGAGGAATTGTGTGTTTTGAGAATGAAATCCTGCACCGCAAGGCAACCATGAAAAACCACTGTTTGTTGGTACTTGCACATCATTCCAGGGTTTCATAGGTGGTGCAGGATTTCATCCACCCACAGTATTGTTTTTTCCAATGTCCACAATTGGACTTGCATATCTTACATGATGGAGTTTCGCTCGTTTTAGGCTCGCAACATAAAATCGGCAGATTGTGGGACACCACGACACCTGTAAACATCACCCGAGCAGGACACTCACTTTGATACTGGCAGCAAAGTTGATACCTAAAGCCACGCACACAAATCCAATATACATCAACATGTGACCCATATTGCTTTCACGGAGTGTTTTTGCAAGGGAAATACGTTCAACGACCTTCCAAATCTTGGCGGTGGTCTGTGGCAGCTCCCCGCCCCTCAACATGTGCAAGGCGACCTGTCGGCCAAGCCATCAGCCCTTTTTCCCCCGAGCTTGGGGCAAGATACGGGGGTTGAACCCTAAACCCTAAAAGGGTGTAATTTTGGGTGCTGGGGGGCCTCATTCCGCACGGCGCCGTTGGGCCCTCTACCCTTTCAGAGTGGCCGAAACAAGCAACCACACTTCTTGTCTAAGCCGCTAAAATGGGAACCAAACTTAAGTGACGATCAAGTCCATGAACTCAGGGAGTGAGAAGACTAAGAAGAACAACCACACATGAACGACCACTTCAAACAAGAAAGCAACCACCAAAAATGAAAAACACCAAAGACTAAGAAGCGCACAAGTACTACATATGAACAATTCTACTTCAAACAAGAAAGCAACCACCAAAAATGAGAAAAACAAGCGCCAAGAGGACGATCAATTCTGAAACCACCTCGAAGCCAAAAGCAGTGAAGACGAGTCCGCCTTTTAATTCTAAGAGCAACGAGTTGAGCCCAGCAGCGATTCAGCAGCGCCACGTGAGCCTCCAGAACCGGAGGCTCGTGCTGCGCAAAAGTCTTTTCCCCGTCCGCGGCCTCGCAAGAAATTCGCCGCGTGGAGGTTCGTTTTAGCGTGACTGGCTGGTTGGTGTGGATCTTTTCTAGGGGAGGTGATTCCTTGTCCCTTTAAACAACCAACCAACGGTTTCCCAAAAAAAAAACGAAACCATTCTATTGGGGACCTGTTCAACGTTGTGCGTGTGTGTGTTGCTTAATGGACTGAACTCCTGCTATTGTTCTAGGGGTTGATTCCCTGTCCATTCCTTTCAGCCATCCTTCTTTTCAAAAACCGGATCCGTTTTCCCAGGGTGTTGGGTGAATTTCTAGAAAGATTCGGATCCCTGGATTCAGAATGGAAATGGAAGTTAGCCCTAGATCTTTGGTGACTTGAGGGTCTTGAGGACCTTAAGCTTTCCGTTTGGGGAGCTTCGGGAGTTTGGGACTTTAGGCTTGGTCCGCTTTCCCTCCAATTTGGCTTGGAGGTGGGGGCTTGTGGGGAACTAGAGGCCCCGGCTGGGTTCCCCTCAACTGCCTATGGGTTTTGGTCGACCCTCACCGGATGCCAAACACGCCCCCGGCCCCCGGCCTCTTGGGCACCGCCATCTTTAGCAAATCTCTCCGCGCAAAGTGTTCGGGCGAAGAACCCTTTGAACCCGCCCATGTTGGCGGAAAACGGAAAGATGAGGATGCAGGTGAGGTTTGCTATTTGTTTTTTATTCAAATGAACTCGACCAAACGTCTGTTTTGCCTAGGTCCTCCAGTAGAGAGATTAGAATAAGGATATCCGATTCTTGTTGCTGTAGTCTATTTTAGTAGGGGAACCCTCCCAACCAAAAAAGATGGTGAGAGGTCGGGCACCAATTGCTGAGGGACCCAGCTGTCACTTGTAGGACCCAATGAATCTTTGCCCAAACAATCAATCTTGGACACATGAATTTGACCAGACCAATTTTGCCAGTCAAGGATGCAGGTGCTGTTTTTTGTTGGACCAATGTATTCGACCAGACATTTGTTTCGCCGGTAGGGACCCAATCAATCTTCGCCTTCATTTCTCTTGGACAAATGAATTCGACCCGACAAAACTTTGCCTGCCGGTAGGGACCCAGCCGCCTAGTTTCCTGGACAAATGAATTCGACCCGACCAAACTTTGCCTGCCGGTAGGGACTAGGGACCGACCCATGCGCCTTCTGCAGCAGCTGGTCGGCCGCCCGCGTGTCCTGCCGGAGTTGCCGCAGCTGCAACAGCAGCTGCGCCTGCAGCGACTCTGGCAGCGCCTCGGCGCGCTCCGTTGGATCCGTTGGAACCCGTTGGAAGGTCCGTCCATTTGCTTTTTCGTGCCCCTAGGAAAGAATCAAAATATGTGCAGTAGTGATAGATTCCCTTTGAAACCAACAAGGGGGAGAACAAAAAAAACTAGTCTTAAGCAAATGGAAGTCTGAACCCAAATTGGGGTGTTAACTTTTGGTGTCTTCGACTAACAAAGGGTACCAAGAAGCCAAATGAAGAGTCAACCAACCTTTTGGCCTCTTTTTGTCGGTGGGTTTTCCCTTTGGTGTTCCTTTTTGGTTTCTTCAGAAAGTGCAAAGAATCCAAGAGGGCCGCACCCCAGCAACCCAAATGGTCCCAATGGCGCTAAATATATAAAACCCCGTGACTCCCCTTTTTCCCTTCGACAGGGATCCGGATGCATGAAAAACACCGATCGAACATTGCAACTTGTAAATGCCAGTCCCATCACATCCTCCTGCCCTCCAGAAAAAAGAAAACAACTCGTTGGAGGATTTCATACAAGGACTCGGCAGAAAGGATCCTGAATGAAGGCTTGCTGTTCATATCGCTCCCAAGCAGGTGTATCTAAGGCTCCAACAGACTTGAATCAAAAGACTGGACAACATCCTGGGTTTCCTCGACCCAAGGCTGCCAAAACTGGAAGATCAGTTTTGGTGCTTTAAGGCAAGCCGAGCCGGAACAAAACCAGCCAAGCGGGCCCTACCCAACCGAACGAAGCTCATTTCGCACCACTTCTTAGGTGGGTTTGGCTCATTCAAATCCGGTTCCATCCATCAACCACTTGCCTGCATTTACAGATTCCGTAATCCAAGTCCAAGCACAGGGCGGACATCGCTTTCTGCTCAATTCCTACATTGGTGTCCTTAGGGTCACCCCTCCTAGTATCCTAGGTGTCCTTTTCGAATAGACGGAATGCTCATCTGCGAACCAAAGTGAGCTCTATCGGCACGCCTGGGGTGAGTGGGGATGGGACAAGGCATTTTACTGCTATGCCTGGTGATTTGCCCGAGTGATGTCTTGCTCCTGAAACCTTCCTCCAGTCGCTTCCCCAGTCGCTTCTTTGCTTCTCTGGAAGCTTTTGTTGGGCCAAGCAGCGCAAAATGGGAGATGCCTCTTATCGGCCTATCGACCCTGGGTTCTTGCTTACTCGACATAGAGGGGCCAAAAATCAAGGAAGAGTCATAAAATGAAAACAACTTGGGGGTCAAACACAAAACGGGGCAGGGGGTATATTAAAAACAAGGATGTAAGGAAGAGGAGGGCGGTCGGTGGTCAAATAAACCGGAGGAGCCCCATTACAATGAAGGCAAGTAGACGGCAGAATTTCCCCCATGCGTGTGGTAGTCATCCTCCGTGCTAACCTAGTTTTCACCCTGGTGTGAATGGGCCTCTCTCTGTTGAGGGGATCCTTGTTGTGTTTGCGTTAAAGGGAAAGCAACAGTAGACCACTCATTTTGAGCTCAAATGCCCAGCGGCCATGGGGAAAAAGGGTGCTCCTTTTTTGGTTGAGTTTAAAGGAATCGGACCTCATTCCCTAGCAAAAGGCGGAAGACATTTTTGGTTGAGATGAAAGGAATCGGAACCCTTGCCAACAAAAGTTGAAGAAAAAGTGACGGAATCCACTGGGCAACTGGGTGAGGGCTGTTTTTTCTGCTGTGCATGGACGATATCCTGCACCACCTGAAAAACCATTGTTTGTTGGTATTTGGGTTTGGTTCAAAAATTGGTAGCCAACATAGAATTTATAGTAAATGGCAAAGACTAAAACCTGCGGTCCATATCGTGGATTCAGATTTTGGCCCATTTGCAGGCCAAGAAACCATGGTTGAACCCAGTCCGTGTTGGATTTTACCGGGGTCCATATCCTGGTCTAAAATTTTGGCCCATACCCATCAGGGGAATCGAAGGTGGAGGCCCGGGCCTTGCTCAGGTAGAGCTCCGTCATATGACGGACGTACTCCAGCTGAAGCGTCATCTCCTGAGATTGATTAAACAAAGTGACAGCCAGCCCCCAGCAGAAAACAAAATATGGGCCTCGTCTTTGGAGGCTCGGTAATTCCCCCCTGTTATTGGTGGTTTTGAAGGGACACCAAAAGGAACAAACATCATTTCCCCCTGAACAAATAAAAGACAAAAAACAAAAACAAACGCGCACATCCGCATCTCGAACTTCAACCTAATTTGACGGGTTACGAAAGTTCAAGCGATTCAACCCCCAAACGCCTGCTAGTTTCACAGAGGAATTGGACCACCTCCGCTTCTGACAAAAGGCTCATGCCCCTTTAAGCAAATCCGCCGGGTGCTTTCTCTTGGGACCACTGGGTTCTGCAACACTGGGCTGTTCCCAGATCCCCCACTGAAAGTGACGAACTGTTAGTGGGCTAAATTCGGAAATCCAACCACTAAACCAACTAAAAACACCTAAAAAGCTAAGGAACCGGATGGCTGGGAGCCACCAAGACAATTGGAAGTTGCTGATGTGGCTTCCCTCTACCGCCCCTACCACCCCCAATCTCCGGCCGAATCTGGAAATCGGGGGCCTGGACATCTGGGACCACCGGCTTCTGCCCAAAAAATGAAACGTCCGCCCGACCCGCGGGCTGTCGCTCAAATTTTCGGCTTAGGGGCTGCTGTGGATGGCACTGCAGCCTCTGGCTTGTCCAGGTGCAAATGGAAACCACCCAGGATGCTGTCGCTCATCCTCCGGGGGGGGGGGGGGGGGCGGTGTTTTTGTTGAGGGTAGCCCCAAAAGGGAAGCCAACCATTTCTTGGGCCCCTGTTCCAAAAGCATGCGTCCAATCATGTGGACAAGATGTGGGAAGACCATCTTCTGGAAAATGCCCCCTCCTCTGTAACCAAAATAATTTGGACCACCTGGAATTGTGTCCACCCATTTCAAGGAGCCTTTCTCCTCACTGGGCCAGAGACCCTCTAGAAAAAGTTAACAGTTCTGTACCGGCTGGCATATGATGGAACACAACCAGCTCTTCACAGGGTTGGCTAAGCCTGGCAACGGGTTCACGACCGGTTGGTTACCTTCTGCTTTCCGGAGAAGCTTTGGAATTCAGAAACAGGCCTTTGAGATATGGCACAATGTCATAGACACTTTTCTAGGATGGGACAAACAGGAATGGAGCCACAAAAAACAGTTGGTGTGTATATACTATGTATACTTATATACATATATATATATATATGTAGATATCTATATGTATTCATCTCGTTAATTATACTATACAGCCCTTCTACCCGAAAAAAGAAGAAGAAAAAAGAACATCCCAGAACTGGTCGTTCACTACTTGGCACAACCAGCAAACTGTGATCGGCGAAACCCCCTCCTCGTGAGGAACTCCTCCGCGGTGAGCGCGGAGATCTTGGAGGAGTTCTTCTCCACCAGCAGCAGCTCCTGCGAGTCTCTCCTCCCTACCGCCGAGTCGCAAAAAGGAAACTTAGGTGGGGATGTGTGTCCACCAATCACTTTGAAGGTGGTCCGTATTAATACTCATGGCCATGTGGTCTCGCGGCAAACTACAAACCACAAATCATATGGTCCGTTCCTCATATGAGATTGTGTCTCAAGACGAAAACGGCCGTTTTGCTGAACGGTTTCTCCTTGAAACCGCCTTCCAAACTATCCAGGTCTCAAGTTTACGGGACAAATGCAAACTCTCCATCTAAAGCCAAGTAATAACAAACAGCATATATATATATGTACATCAACCAGCAACGATGTTGAAGAATCTACTGTCCACCATCTGCTGATCTGCGATGATTGAGGAACCTCCCTACAAGTAGGTGTGCTGAATGCTTCTGAGTTTTCGAAAGATGCCGAATCAGTTTTGTAATCACAGCCTAGTCATAGAAATAACAATAACAATAATTCAATAAGAGAAAAAAAAAACACTTTTTGTTTTTTAAAGAAAAAAGAAAGAAAGAAAGATAACAATCATCACAACCATAATCATGAACATCATTCTCAAACCGGCCGCAGCCCTAGGCTGCCGTGATCGAAAACTGCTTTCCTCTCCTCGCAGCAAAGCACCTATCAGCAGCTTCAAAACTTGCGACTCGAATAAGGGTTGAGACGACCCTGACATAAACAAAGGAGCCAACTTCAATGTTTCTTCCCACAAGGGTGTTGCTCGACTTTCAAATCCATTCACTGACGACGCTTCTCCCCTTCTCCCCTTCTGCCTGCTTGCGAATTTGCAGCAGCTTCTTCTTCGAAACCAGCTGCTTCAACAGGTGCTTGATCATGCTCCTCAGTTCAAATCACCCAACCTGTGATTAAGGTTTCAGAGTCTGACGCAGTGTTCCGAATCCCCAAAGGGAAGGCTTGGAAACATCCATAAAGTTCCAGGGATACCCCCCCACCCCTCCCAATTCCAGCCCAGACATGTTGAGCTCCACCATCCGGCCATAGGGAGATATTGCCCGTATAGGGTCAGGAACTTCAGATCTCCGAATCGATGGCAGCTGCAGTATTGTATATACAACGCTAATATCTGTTGGGGCCCTAGTATCCGCATCACACCTCGTAGAGTTGTTGCCTTTTTGCTCTGCCCAATCCAAGGATGTTGATTTTCTAACTTCGACTTTTGGACAACCCGCAAACAGCCAATAAAACTTTGGATCTGCGAACATTCAAGCTCCCATGCAGCATCCAGCCACGGTGGGGTTGACAACAATCGGTTTCGCTCGTTTCACCTGCATCCCCGTGTTAACGCTTCTTGCCGGGGTCATGGTCATGACTCTTAACAAAGACTACCCATGACCACCCCTCCCAAGCATAAGCTGCACGGAACAGCATGCAAAACTGGTCAATCCAAATGCCCACAATTCTCTAAAGGAAGCTGACTGGCAAGGGGACACAAAGCCTTAGGAAACCCAAAGGACTAAGGATTCCCTTTGAACACTCCAGCGGCCATGGGGAAACCCCCACCCCGCTTGCAGCCGATTTTAGAGGGACACCCCCCTCCACAAGGGAAAAGGGATCGATCCAAGTGCCTGGGACCCTACGCCATGCTGTGCTTTGGACCCCAAATGGCGACTTTTGTCATGGACCAACCTGCCAGGAGTTTCGATGGCTCCGCTTGCAATGTCCCAAAACACGTAACATGGTTCGGGCGACGGAAAACACATCACCCACCTGCCTGCCAAGCCATGCAAAAGAAGCTTCACCACAACCTCCTTGTGTCTATTGAATCCCAGGTTTGCACAAGCTTCAAGTCTTATCTTTCTTCCAGGCATCATTCAACAAACGACGGCAAAGGAAGGCTTGGAACATTTCAAGGCTTAGACAAGCATTGCGGTGTTCGTGAAACGAGTGTCTCTGTGAGGACCGCCAGATCCAGGCTCTTCACGCGATCCTCCTGGCGAGACAGAACAATCCGACGTGCCTGGAGGCGGTAAGGTACAAGGTAAGCAACTGGTTGCTAGCCATGGTTATATTTCTAGGAGAGCTCGCCTGCTTTGAGCGGCGAAAGGCTTTTGAGCTCTCTGATGTTGGGGACAGCAGGACCACGGCTGAGCCTTTGCCTTCATCTGCGCTGGGATTTCTCTTTGAGTGCTTGCAAAAGGATGACACCCAGTGGCAGCTTGCGGAAGAAACGCGCATCAAGCAGGTCCGTGTAAGTGGGTTGCACCTATGGCGGCCAATTATCTACTTACTAAGTACGCAAACCCGCCCCTTTGGGAATGCTCTTCTCTGACCCGATCACCAGGGTAGAGGCTTGCTTGGCCCACAAACAGGGGCACACTGATGTTTTGTTTTTCCCCTTTTTTCTGATTTTGTGTCATATTTGGTCCACCCGTCCGTCCCAATTTGTGTCGACCCTAATTGAAGACCTGCTCAAAGTGGGTCACCAAACGCTGATTCTTACAAAGTATTAGAAGTCCAACACGTGGACTTCTAGCACTTTTCTGGCTTAAGAATGCTTCAAACACCATTTGTTGGCCACTCAACTCCGCTGGATTGGTTGCTTGGAGGTGCAAGGTGGTTTCCAATCTACCCTCAAAGAACCAGGGGTTCAAACCCCAAAACCAATCCAGACCACCAAGGATTCTTCAAATGTGACGAATCCTTGGCAACAAATGATACCTCTGATCCGTTCCGGGTGAAACCCGGCCTCACCCTCCACGATGTAGGGCATGGCCTGTCACAGACATGGGACCTTGGGACTCGAACCAAGGGAAAATATTTCTCTCGAGAAACCCGAGGGAAATGATGGCGCCTGCGTGTCGAGAAAAGCCAACTGCCTTCATTTGCCAATTCGCGAAACAAGGGTTTGCAACTGGCTTTCGTGTGTCCGCCCCTGGCCCCTGTGGGATATTGATAGAGTACCAACAGATTGCTAATAGTTATAGATTCAACAGGGACAAGAACAGGTGAAATCCACAAAGAAGAGCATCCAGTTGTTTTGTAGACACTTACAGTAGGTAGCCAGGGCAAACCACCATGTAAAACCTGGAGCTAAGAAACCCTTGCCTGCAATACCGGTACCTGGAAGCGCTGGGCCTATCCTTTTAATCTGAAGCGGGCAGCCACTACGACTTCCAGGGAACCACCATGTTGCATAACAATAAGGGATCTTAGCCCAAACCACCCATTGGTAGGCTCGATTCATCTCCGTTGTCCCAGCTTTTGCTGCTTCGGAACCTGAACGAATGAAACATTCTGCAAGCGTCAGCCCAACATGTCAGAAGCCCCTGAAACCTGCCGTCGCCAGCTTCGACATTGGCAACTCTAGAATGACGGCGTTGCCCGCCGGCAGCAAGGCCCACTCAAAACCAACTGTAGAAGCAACATGGGAATTCTGAACATTGCCCCGAATCGAAAGATGATCAACCGAAACACCTATCCTGAGCATCACGGTCATCAGTGCGACTTCAGTCATCAACAGCATTGGTGGCACCTTACTCCTGGTGGGCAACGTGTAAAACGTCAGTGCTCGGTTGAATCCCTGGCGGGTAAGGTCGTGATTGCATCTGCCCAGATGTAGCAATGCTTGCTCATGCTTGTCAAGTTAGACTTAGATTGGACAGCTTCTGGTCTTGATGGCAGGGATCAAACGGAAGCACACGAAGTGCGCAACTCCCAAGACACATCGGCGCGTGTAGTGATCGTGTCAATCAACCTTCATCATATTGGTATGGGTCAAAATTAAAGCACCAGGAGACCGCAGGTGTTGGACCACGTTTCCATTTACCATAATTCCATTTTGGGTACATATTTTTGACCCACAGCCATATCATGCACGTACTTGTTCCCTTCTCAGATTGTCCATGCCGGCAGTCTGGCTTTGGACAACCCACAAGCAACAACAGTCACCAACAAAAACAAATAAGAGGCCCTTCGAACTAGCCCTCTGAACTCTAAAATACTTCCCTTTCAACTTCCTTCTTCCTTCTGCCAGGATCAGGCCGAGTTGTACAGAAGATCACCCCAAAGTCCTACGCACATTCTGCCAAACCAAACTCCGAAACTTTGTTTGAACCTCCCCCTTGACCTCAAATCCGACCAATTTCTGGATCTCCAAGGAACCAGAGACTGCTTTTGGGGTACCGTACTCAGCGCGTTTTGGACATGGGGAACAAGGAAAGGATTATGTTTGGTACCGGCAACCCCTTGTTTGGCTGTAGGCAAACACATGTAAACCTTTTATCAGCAAAGACAATGGAATGAAACCTAAGATCATTGGAATCATGGCGCCCTCCCCTAAAAAAGAACCAACTAACCAGCCAGCCAACCAATCCAAGCAACCAATCTAAGCAACCGTTCAACCAACCAATCAAGCAAGCAAGCAACCCACCAACCTACCAACCTACCGGATCTCGCTTCAACCTCCCTTTTCGCAGATGTTGCGGCGGAACGATTTGAAATTGTAGTGGCCATGCCTTCTTCACCCTTGGCTTCGATTCTTCGAAACGGGTGGTTAGTAGTTAGCCTACGGAAAGAGCGTTGGCTTCTCCTAAGCTTAACTGCGTTCCGAACTTTTTTGAGCAGAACGTCATTTTCCGATTTCTTCTGAGACCCAGCAGACAACAAACCAACCAGGGTGTCCATGCCCAGTTGCAACACAGCATCAAACCAGGCCCCACGTGAATAGGTGGCACCGTCTTCCAAAGGGTAGGGTCCCTTAGAACCAACTCTAGGTCCTCCAGTGGAGGTTAGAATAAGTTGGTACCCCTTCTTTTTTCTGTAGTCTATTTTAGGGGAACCGAATCTCCCAACCAAAAAGGGGATTCAAGGGCACCAATCGCTGGGGGACCTAGAGAACTTCTTCCACCTCTTCAAGCCGAAACGACCCCATCCCACACCTGGCCTCATGTTTTTACATCTGTCACCCCCCTTTGTGGTGGATTAAAGGGAAACTACCAACCAGTGTCTGACTTTGATCACCCCCAGAAACCGAACCGAAACAATGCCCCCTGTGAGTGGAAATGTGGGTGGAGAGTGGAAAACCCAACTTGATTTCAACCAAAAAGCTAAAGTCTAAAGATCCGTCACCCAATGGCAGTCAACGCCAATGCTACCAAAACCTCCATTTGCTTCTTCAGCTCCTGGAAGCAAACAACATCTGTCCAGTGTCCAGTCGTGAAATCGATTCTCTTTGAAATCAACATACCATTCCATTTGCTTTCCAAAAGGCTAAAAAGCTCAGGAACCGGATGGCTGGGAGCCACCAAGTTAAGCACACACCCTTCCTACCAAGAAACTCAGCCCAATCTCAAACGACGCCATCGTCATCCTTTTGATCCCATCCGACCCCTCGCCCACCTTGCCTCCGCCGGCGGCAGCAGCCCAGCCTTCCCCGGGCGCAGCAGCTGCAGCAGCTGCTCCAACGCCGCGTGCTGCAGACTCAGCGGCACCGGGCGCCGCGCCTCACGGCAAACCACGCTGCGGCTGGACATAGGGACCCCAACCTCAGTTTTTCAGATGACCCTGGAAAAAAAGGGGACCCTGTTTGAGGAAGACAATTTTTAGTGGAACAGCCACCCAAAAAAAGGAAGAATAATTAGTGCCACTGAACAACTGAGCAACCAATTTCTGCTTTCTGTTTGTCCGAAAGTGGTTGGACTTTATCCCGTTCAACGAAATTCCCTTGGTATCACACAACTTGGCAACTTCAACCCCGATACGGGCCCCAATAAATTTGTGTGTTCCCCTTTGGGATTTGTTTCTTTTTACAAGGGTGTGTCTCTTCTTTTTAAGGTTGGAGCCCCAAAAAGGATGGTCTCCCCCAGGTGTCCCTTAAAACCACAAAAGATAGGGGTACCCTCAAGAAAAACAACAACAACAACAACAACAACAACAACAACAACAACAACAACAACAACAACAACAACAACAACAACAACAACAACAACAACAACAACAACAACAACAACAACAACAACAACAACAACAACAACAACAACAACAACAACAACAACAACAACAACAACAACAACAACAACAACAACAACAACAACAACAACAACAACAACAACAACAACAACAACAAACAACAACAACAACAACAACAACAAACAACAACAACAACAACAACAACAACAACAAACAACAACAACAACAACAACAACAACAACAACAACAACAACAACAACAACAACAACAACAACAACAACAACAACAACAACAACAACAACAACAACAACAACAACAACAACAACAACAACAACAACAACAACAACAACAACAACAACAACAACAACAACAACAACAACAACAACAACAACAACAACAACAACAACAACAACAACAACAACAACAACAACAACAACAACAACACAACACAACACAACGACAACGACAACGACAACGACAACGACAACGACAACGACAACGACACACACGACAACGACAACACAACGACAACGACAACGACAACGACAACGACAACGACAACGACAACGACAACGACAACGACAACGACAACGACAACGACAACGACAACGACAACGACAACGACAACAACGACAACGACAACGACAACGACAACGACAGACAACGACACGACAACGACAACGACAACGACAACGACAACGACAACAACAACAACAACAACAACAACAACAACAACAACAACAACAACAACAACAACAACAACAACAACAACAACAACAACAACAACAACAACAACAACAACAACAACAACAACAACAACAACAACAACAACAACAACAACAACAACAACAACAACAACAACAACAACAACAACAACAACAACAACAACAACAACAACAACAACAACAACAACAACAACAACAACAACAACAACAACAACAACAACAACAACAACAACAACAACAACAACAACAACAACAACAACAACAACAACAACAACAACAACAACAACAACAACAACAACAACAACAACAACAACAACAACAACAACAACAACAACAACAACAACAACAACAACAACAACAACAACAACAACAACAACAACAACAACAACAACAACAACAACAACAACAACAACAACAACAACAACAACAACAACAACAACAACAACAACAACAACAACAACAACAACAACAACAACAACAACAACAACAACAACAACAACAACAACAACAACAACAACAACAACAACAACAACAACAACAACAACAACAACAACAACAACAACAACAACAACAACAACAACAACAACAACAACAACAACAACAACAACAACAACAACAACAACAACAACAACAACAACAACAACAACAACAACAACAACAACAACAACAACAACAACAACAACAACAACAACAACAACAACAACAACAACAACAACAACAACAACAACAACAACAACAACAACAACAACAACAACAACAACAACAACAACAACAACAACAACAACAACAACAACAACAACAACAACAACAACAACAACAACAACAACAACAACAACAACAACAACAACAACAACAACAACAACAACAACAACAACAACAACAACAACAACAACAACAACAACAACAACAACAACAACAACAACAACAACAACAACAACAACAACAACAACAACAACAACAACAACAACAACAACAACAACAACAACAACAACAACAACAACAACAACAACAACAACAACAACAACAACAACAACAACAACAACAACAACAACAACAACAACAACAACAACAACAACAACAACAACAACAACAACAACAACAACAACAACCAACAACGACAACGACAACGACAACGACAACGACAACGACAACGACAACAACAACAACAACAACAACAACAACAACAACAACAACAACAACAACAACAACAACAACAACAACAACAACAACAACAACAACAACAATAACCAAATAAATGATTAATAAGCCCGTCCTATGGAATGGGGGTGCTCGAAAAGCGAGGACCTCGATAGGATGGGGACACCCCCTGATCAAAATCAGCAAGGGGTGTGTTCATCTGGGATTTTCCTGGGTTCCATGTGAACATGAAGGCGGGTATTCTCCAGTTGCGCTTCCACCAAAACCACCAATTGTGAGGATAATCTTTTAAGATTGGCTTTGTCTTGGCGCCCTTTTTGCAATACTGCAATACTATGAAAAGATACTCGTTGGCTCCCTGACTGCTTTAGCAGTTGAGGGAGGCCACAGAAAGTCCGGGGTCACTGGGTTTCCCCTTCAAACATTGCAACTCACCAGTCGTTTCAATTGAAACTGCTCCAACTAGAGAAATGGCTCGGAAACCCTGAAAGTACCATGGCAGCACGGCGAGAGCAAACGGCAACGAGCACGTTGCAAACGGAGGTCGGTAAATTGCTTTGCTTCATACCAAATCAAGGACGGGGGCTCCCAGGTTGGCGAAAATCGACCTGTTGTCTGCATCAACTTTGGGAGGATCAGCCGCCAACTCTCGGAAAGGGCCATGTTGCCAGGGAGCTACCCAACTGAAAAGGTCATTCCCTTGACCTTTGAAGCGCTTCCTTGCCTCACGTCCTGACCGGGTCGGCCCAAAAGGGTCCGAACTGTTGTTTACCAATCAACATTGTCCAAAACTTCGACACTTTTGGAGAAGACGATGTGCAACTTTTGTTTTTTTTTGGGGGGGTTCGTTTACCACCGAACATTGTCTTCTCAAAAAGTGTTTAACGTCCAGCAATTAGGGAGTGAGGCTCATCCGGGAAAGCGCAATCATATCACGGTCGGTTTGGCCCCTGGGGCAAAACCCGAAGTTCGCATGATCGAGCTATTTGGTTGCCACGTCCGAAGCAAAAGGACGAAAAAAGACTCAGCTTCGCTGGGTTGCCAGAATTCGCGAAAGGTCGAAAGCCACCTAGCCAAGACAAACGCCTTCCCCTGCGAGATGTGGGCATGGGACAAAAGTAAACCACCATGAAACTGACTAAAACGGGTTTTATTCCATGCCTCCATTTACCACAGCAAGCCATTTTGGGTTACCCTATGCTTGAACCACGGCATACCACGGCCATGTTCCCATTCAATGGGCTTTGATCCAAGTCATGGCGCTACACCAAACATGGCATCCGAAGTGAGCCATCACCTACGATGACTTCTCATGTTTAAGACAATTCCCCAGGGGTAGCACCATGTGTCGCAGAAAGTGAACCTTATGTCCGAAAGAAACAACCTTATCACCTTCAAGGGGATTAATGAACACCTAATCCCAACTGCTATCGCAGATTTTGGCAACTTGAACCTCAATTGATATCATAGAAAGTTGCCAAAGAGACCCTACTCAACTTCGCGCACGAGGGATGCCCGGAGCGAGCCTTGGAGGTATTCCAAACGTGCCCCCGGTGGAGGTAGCGATTTTCGATGCCGCCCACCCAGGGAATGAGACCTCGGCACGTTAGCTAAATCTCACTGGCTGAAAAAGCCCAGAAATCGCAGGTTGTCCGTGTTGGGCCTAGACTATGCGTGAACCATCAGAAAACCCAAAGGTCGGCTTGCAAGTGAGAAATGGCGTGAGAGTTCAATGTCAGAATTCTGGTAACCAGGATAGACGCTCAGGTGGGATGAATCAATCCATGCTTCGGCCAATGGCTTCTAGTAGGCGGGTTGAAGACTTTTTTTGCAGGCTGCTAGAAGATTCTGAATGGCTGATCGATCCTGTGAGCCCCAGACAAGACCCCGAAAGGGCATGGGAAGCTTGGTTGGGCTGCTTGCTTGTTTGTGGTAAATTTGATGTCCCCCTTGTGATCCCCACACCCAAAATAGCCAACCAGTCATTCTTTTTCAGGCTTTCAGCTGTGAACCGCCCAAGGAACACATGCGGGGAAGCGTTTGAATATGTGCAGGGCGTGATCAATATATCCAGCTTTGACTGTTGGCCCCCGTATTGAGGAGAAAAGGACAGAGTTGCCAGACCTCCAGACTTTGGGAAAACACATGGCCCAACACCCCGCAAGGAAAGAGCTTTGGGAATATGTTTGTGTTTTTTCAGGTTTTTGGGTTTCTGAAAACCTTTCCGGGGCTCTCTTGGTGTCTCTCCTTTGGGTCTAAAAGCAACACCTCTTGGCTTCTTCAACCTGTTGATCATCCAACCAAAAGGAATCTTTTCCACCCACCTCTTAGTTGGATGACTTAAGAAGTTATCTCCAGGCAAGTCCCTCAAGGAACCCTGCAAAGGGCATTTACCGCGATATCGACGTACGAGGCCAAGGCACTGTCTCCCGTGTACTGCGCTTCCCTGGCGGACAGATAGACCAAAGACCGACCCTGAAAACGTCTAACTCAGCCTTTTGCCCCCCCCCCCCCCACAACACCACAACGTGGCCCGGGGCGGCTCGTCGTTTGAGGGGACCCCTTTTTTGTGGAAAACCAACTTGGCGGGTCCCCTGAAAATAACACCCCCATATGGTGGAGTCTGGCCGTGAACCTTAAATGATCCCAGACCTTGGCCGGGGGGGAGTGAGAGTAGGTTGGACGTGTTGCTGGTGGGAAAGAACGTCCAACCAAAAAACATGAAAGGTGATGTTGGTCGAGTCTATGGCCAAGAAAAGGCAAGGCAACCGACAGCCCTGTCCATCCCGGATTGCACGCACGGCAATTGAGCTCTCTGCGTACTAGGGATAAGCGACATGTAAGTAGACTTAGACCCACAATTTCAAGTGCCCGGCAAGGGTACATTGAAGCTCGAGAATCTTTTCTCGAAGTAACTGTCTAAAACCACCAGCTAACAGAAAAACCAGCTGGTGGTTAAAACAAAAATTACTGTTGAACGCAGTTGGAAGCAACTCCTCGTTAGGGATCCACGGAACAACCAAATCGCAAAACTGAACACATGGCCATGGGTCAAAATCCCGCATCGCAATGCCCACTAAAAAAAGCAAAATGGGTGGTGCACCTACCCCAAAATGGTACCATTGGTTTTGACCCACAGCCATATGCCCTCACACATCTGAACCGTGGGTCACCATGTCAATGTCTCAGCATTGTGAGGGAACACTGCAAAGGAACCTACTCTGCTGCCAGTCAACATGGAACCCCAACAAAGCGGCCCCCGCCCAAAAAGGGTCTCTGGAAATGATTGGCTGTCCCTGGCCCTATTATTTTACAACTGTCAAAGTCACGCCCAAAGTAAGTTGAAGCGAAACAACCAACCAGTTGATGACTATAATCTCCAAAAGCAGCCAAAATAATGGGCCCAGTGTCTGGTGTCAAGTTTTTGTTGTTGTTTGCGTTTGCTTCTTGTTTGTTGGTTGTTTCATTTCTTCTTTGTGTTAAACAAGAAAACACTTCAGAGGGATTCCCAGTATCTGGTGTCATGTTTGATTGTTTTTGTGTTTTTCTTTCTTTTTTTTTTGGGGGGGGGGGGGAAAAAAAGAAAACCAGCGACATGTTTGCGCCTCAGCAAGGACTGCACAGCTGCCCCGTACTTGCGCCAGGGTCCATCTGCCTGACGCGCAAGCGTGCTCTCCATCGCAAGCGTGTGGAGCGCGGCTGTGGCCAGCTGAGTCAACATGGCTGTGGTTGTCAAAAATGGGTACCCAGAATGGAACCCTAGTAAGTGGAAACATGGACCAAAACCTGCGGTCCATTTCCTGGTGGCTTAATTTTGACCCATACCCATGTGGGGTCCACTTGGTTTCTGTAACGACCCCGCTGAAAACAGCTGAACTGTTTGTGGTCGAATGGAAAATGCTCTGTTTCAACTTGCAACGTTGCCGTAAAAAAACCCTGTGCAAACAGTTCGGTATAATGGAACATCCACTGCTTTAACCAAAAAGCTAAAGTTTCAAGATCAAATCAACCAGTCACACTGTCCAAAAGGTTGCAAGTAAGAATATGATAATCTGAACTTACTTTCCGACATGCACCACAAAATGCCAGCCCAGCGCATCAACACCGCCATTGCGTTGGCTAAAAACATGCTGTTCAAACATTCAAACAAAGTCAAACCAACAAGCAAGTAAGGAGGTATCAGTAATTAGGGGGACTCCAGAACAGGTGGTCTTCCTTTTGGCTTCTGTTTTTACCCACCCTAAAAAGCGTTCAACAAAAACACACTCCCACAAATGGCGGCCTATATAAACGGGTCAAGTCCTTGTTCAAGTTACTCCGCCTGGGCTCAAGCAACGTTTTGGTTTGTGATAGAGGTTGAAGGCTTGTTCGGGATTCTGAACCTAACTCTAGTTCTTGGGGAGGTTCCATGTTGAAGGTATGGAGGTCTCGTTGCATCTTGCCTCTCGAGTACAAGGTCTGATCTTCTCTAGGTCCTGTGCAAACCCCAGTTTGGAGGGGTATCCCTGGGTTTAGCGATACAAGTCATCACTTTTGGATGGGCCCCCACCCCTATTCAATAGGGGTTGATGAATATGGGGTCAACATGAAATTGTCTCAGTGTTCAAGGGGCTCAGGACCAGCCATGCAATGGATATGTATGTCTGTTCGAATGGCCTCTTTTTGCAGCTCGGGGTGGCCTGCACAAAGCTGGTTTTGTCAACCTGCGGAGGTTGATGAAAAGGACACCCGCATTGTTCGCGTTCGATGTGGGTGCCGTTTTCGGCTTGGTGTGCAGAGAAACTGCCAGGAAAGCCGGCCATTGTGGGGGTTCCCCATATTTTCACATCCAAATGTGATATGGAACAGCCCGAACACAAAAGTGTCATCTTTCAAAGCCTTTGGTTTCCTGTCGAACAAACAACCTGGGCAAAGGTGCTTTGTGGATGGACAACATCCACCAGTTGGGTGCTATGTCAACCATGTAGAGTTTCTATCCGTCTGGCGCCGATCCTGCCAGAGCCTGAGTCTGAGTCTGCCTATTGTCCAGCCCTGTGGAAAGTTAAGCCGTGGTAGAATACGGCAAATTGGAGAGGGTCTGCTTGTTCCCTTGCCAGACTTGGGTTACCCACGGGAGGTCAATCAGATCCTGCAGAAAGTTGCTCACCCTGAAGCTCATAGGGCGTTCATTGCTGAGAATATAGAAATATTGACTATATTTTTTCAGGTTGACCATTTTTTGCAGGGGAGCCACCACACACACACACACCAAAAAAAAAGGACAACGGAGGATGCCGCTGAACTGGACAGGTTACCTCCGATCCGATCCAAGTTGGCTTCCCTCGGCCAAAACGCAAGGCTGTCTGGCCTCATGATGATACCAGGATCAAACTGTCACCCCCTAAGTGGGTCAAAGAGACACAACCCCATGTTCCATGGACATTTGTCGGTTTTAATCACAGGAAATGGAGTCCTGGGGTCATGATGTTTCTGGGTAGTTCTAGGGGTTGATTCCCTTCTTTTCAATCATCGTTCTTTTTACAAACCAGCTGTTCCCCCTGGGGTTCTGATGGTTTTCTTAAAGGATCCCTGGAAAGAATGGGGCCGTGTCCCCTACAGTAGTAGCCTTGAACACCAACAACCGATCCTCCAGAAAGTTGATGTGCAGCGTCTTCTGCACCTTCGACAGGCGCTTGATGCGCCTCGCGTGGTACGCCACCGGATCCTGGCACACAAGAAAACCTCCAAAACAACATGAGGAAGACATGGGAACATACTGCGGATGGACGAAACCCACTTCGCACCACCTAAGAAACCCAAGGGAATGATACGATTCCCCTGTAAATACCAACCAACATGGCTTCCCATGGTTTCTTAGGTGTTGCAGGATTTCGACCACAGTATGGGTGTGGTTGTCAAAACTTAGTTGGTAACCCCAACATGGCTGGCCAGATCGGCACATGGAAGCAACCTGTGCCGAAGACCTGCGGTACCTGTCCGGGTGGGTGAAACATTTTGACCCATACCCCATATTTGGTCTGGAACCCCATTCCGGAGCCTTCCCCAGGGTACGATGCCTCCTCAAATAACATAGCAAGGGACAAGTGGCAGGGCTCGATTGTGGGAAGGCACGGTGCCCAATGTTACAGAGAGGCACCGCATGTTCCAGCATGGCGCCTTCTCCTTTGAGAAGGCACGCTGTTGTGGGGAAGCCCGCAAAATCCAGAGGACGCGTATCTTGGGAGAAAATGCTCGCCGCTAGGACAAAAACATGGGGAAACATGGAAAACCATGATTCTTGCGGTGGCATCAAAAACCAACACGGACACAGAAATCCAACAATGATAACATGGGGGGTGCTTCCTAAAATCGCCCAACAAGGGCTAGGAGAATGAGCGTCCCCCCTCTTACGGAGCACTGTTTGGCTGGTTCAATGGATAGTTTCTAACATATATGGGGACGATTCGATCCGCCAAAAATGGTCACAAGCTTGGCTCACTTGCTCAAAGGATATTGAAATAAGTAAAAGACTCTGAAACCTCGACTACGAATGGATCAACATGGGAAAACCAAATGGCCAAAGTTCGGGTTGGGGAAAGATGACTTGCAAATGGTCATAACGTTTCCAGTGTCACAGGCATCCATTCTCTTTTGGCTTTAAGGTCTTAAAGGGGTGATTCCCTTGCCAACCATCAAAAGTTGGGAGAACCCTCCCAATCAAAAAAGTAGGGAGAGAAAGGGCACCAATAGTTGGGGGACCTCGTCTCGCGCTCTCGCTCGCTTGCGTCAGTCGTCCGTCCGTCCTCGCCGAGGTCTTCCACCATGCAGTAGGGATCCTCCAAGGCCTGGTCCGAGTCGTAGCACGTCGCGTAGCTCGCCGCCTGCCGCAGCACCTCTGCCAGCCTCGGAGCGAGCGCGACGGAGACAGGGGACATCCGAAGCGGAGGGATGGGACGTGCCGTGGGGGGTTGGGGGGGGTGTTTTGTGGGCACCAAGCCGTGGTTTGGTGGGTCTTGAAGGGAAGCAACTTCCAAAAATAGAAGGGACAAGAAAACACTAAACACATCTTGGGGGTAAACTGAAACCAAAAACACCAACACATCTTGGGGGTAAACTTCCAAAAATTGAATCGATAACGAAAACACCAAACACACACATCTTGGGGGTATTTCGTCGAGTTCGACGGGCTTTCCCGCTCCAAACAAAGGAACGAGGGGCCAACAAAACTCGTGTCTGGCTCATCCGCCATTGCTCCTCCCTGAGGATCAAGTTCATCGGGTCCGAGGTCTTGAGCCGAAGACAAGATGCTTTGGGTCCACACCCCAAAAGGCCAACCGGACATAGATCCAGGGGTTGATTCCCATTCTATTGGGGACCTGTGCAACGTTGTGTGTGTGTGTGTTTAGTTTAATGGACTGAAATCCTACTATTGTTCTAGGGGTTGATTCCTGTTCCATTCTTTTCAGCCATCGCTCTTTTCAAAAACCGGCTGTTTCCCCTGGGTTTTTTGGTGGTTTCTAGAAAGAAGGATCCCTGGATTCAGATTGGGGAAGCTACCTCTAGAATAAAGACTCCTCCAAACAGTCAAACCGCCCAGAGGGAATGAATGGAATGACCCCTAGTGTGGATGGACAACATCCGCTTCGCACCAGTTCGATTTATCCCATTCTTTAGAGGGTTTCGTCAATACCACGTGGTGTGAAGCGGATTTCCCAACCATCCAGAGTATGATACAGGGATCCTTACATTATACACCTGAACATTGCCTTTGTAAATGGTGGTGTCTCTTTATTTAGGTGGCAAAAGCCATGTTTCAAATGGTTGCAACATGTATCTTTTAAGGAGCCCTGGTATGGTTCCCATGGTTCCCTATCCCGTGCCCCGCGACGTCCTGGCGACCAGCAAGTGCGCAAGAGATGAGGCGGTGAGGATGCGGTGATGTCCAGAGACGGAAACCCCAAGAGCCTCCTGTGTGGTAAGGATCCCTTTCAACCCCATGCCCCAAAACAGTAGGCTTGCAACTCGAACCTAGAACATAAATCAGCCTCCACAGATCTGGACATTTGTTTTTGACTATCTGGAGTCTCCATGACCCTTTAAAAATAGGTCCGTGACCCCATGATTTTAGGTAGTGACCCCATTTTTTAGGGTTCATGGAGACTCTATAGGTACAATTATAATAGCTTTTTTACGGGATCTCCAAGTAAAAGACATTTGTCATCGTGAGCGTTGGTTCTATTTCCGGATCGGTGAGCTCCTATAAACTAGGCAGAACAGATGCTACCAAAGCTCTTTCCGGCTCCACCCTCCTGCCATGCAACATTAATCTTGTGGGCATCCTCATAAGGCACCCTTCGGGAAATCTTCAAACAAGGGATTGTTTGGGGGGTTCTAATGTTGACTCCATATTCTTCAACCCCAGTCAATCCAAGTTCATCAAAAGCGGGGTGTCCGTTGACCTGTGGCTGCTGGTTGGCTGGCCACTTCAAGTTGCGGGTCCGCCTAAAATCAAAGTTCTGGGGATCACGCGGCGAGGGCGCTCCTTGGGAAAAGCAGGGTGTCCACACAGGTTTAGTGGGGAATCAGACCACTTTTGGAGGAGACACCACCCGATTTTTTGAACTAGGGTTGATTAATATGGGGTCAACACTGTATGGTTCCATTTTTTTACCAGTCTTTGCCATGTCGCTTTGTACACAAGGACAAAGGCAAATTGCAGCACATGGGAGGGATGCTTCCCAAGGATAGAAGGCCCCGTTTATTGCTGGGTTTACCTTTCTTTCCCAAACTAGTCAGCAGGAAAGACACACACACAGGGTCAAATCATAGCTTCGCAGCCGACATCGCAGATTGCTCTGAACAAGACCCAGCCTTCCATCAGCTCTCCCGATGTTTCCCCTCAAAACATCACCCATAAAGGGAAGCTCACCTTACAATGGGCAAAAAACGGTGACTGTAAAAACCACAAAAAAAGTGACCCCTGTCCTTTGCTTCCCTCCAATTGATGGTTTGGATTGGCGAAGCAGGGGTCTCATTGAGATTGACACCCTCCGGATCAGCGAGGGCGCGTGTGGCCCGGCTCGCCGAGCTCAGGCGTCGCCGGCTCGAAGTAGCCGTAGCGGATGGCCAGCTTGTCCTAAGGGTCCGCTTGGCACCAAGCAACTCCAAAAAAGCCCAGGAGCAACGGTGAATATGAGTCATAATCAAAACCCGGTAGACAAATGGTCTACCCAGAATGTGAAGAATTAGGAAGGCGGAGATCCGCAGCTATTTATGGTTTGGATTGTCCCTTACTAACCATCTACCCGGGTTTGATTGTGGCTCATATGAGGCAACTCTTGCAGGGTACCCCCGTTTCGGTGGTTTTAAAGGGACAGACTCCTTTTTAGAGTCACAAATTCAATGCCCGATATCTGAAATGGTTGGCCCAGAACCATTCAATCAAATACAAAGGCGGCCGCGGCGGCCGCAGCTGTTTCTGGTTGGGACTGTCCCTTACTAATCTACCCGGTTTGGTTGTGGCTCAGGTGTCCCCAACACCAACATACACCAACCCCACTTTCAGGAATTCCGGCACCTTCCTGTCCATGGGACGCATGTTCACTGGATTCAGGGCTTCTAGGGAAACCAAGAAAAAGGCATCCCCAGTTTTGGGAATCCCTTTGTATTCCAAAAGGCCAAGGAATCCAATCATTCCCTTGGGTTTCCTAGGTGCTGCGAAAAGGAATCTGTCCATCCACAGTATATATAAGATGAGCTTTCCAAACTAGAAAACGGCTTGGATTCGCGCTTTTCGTGTTTTACACCTGTTCTTCCCCCTGTAGGTTCTCGTTTAAACTCATTTCAATAATCTTTCAATCTCCGGATCCACAGATTCGCCACCTCCGTGGACCGGTTTCTGGATCCGAGGACCACCAGGTCCTCCAGTGGGAAGAATACGTTGGTACCGTTGCCTTTTCTTTCTGTAGTCAATTTCAGTAGGGGTCCCGAATCTCCCAAGCAAAAAGGTTGGGTGAGAAAGGGCACGAAACAAGCTGGGGGACCTAGCGCTCCAAGTGACATACGCGCCGATGGCCGGCGGGAAGATGTGCGTTGGCTTCTGCTTCTCCGGGAGATTCATCGGCAGGTAGTCCATGACGCCTTGGGGTTTCGAGAGAAGCTGACTGAGTCGGATGTGGAGAAAGGTCTCAACCTTTGGCTCCTGAACATAGGTGGCCTTTCTGGAAAAATAGATGGCCCTCGTAAATGGAAGCAACCCCACCTAAACCAGTGCCATCTACTTGTTCATCAAGCTAACCTAGAAAGACGCCTATGTTCCTGAATTGGGTTTTGCCATTAGGGAAAAAAACACGTCCCAACACAAACAAATGGTCTTCGATTGTCAAAATGTCCCAACAAAAAAGGCATCGGTTTGGGGTGTCAGATTGGTTGTGTTTGTCAAAAAACGATCTTCGCAACAACAAAAAGGCGGTTGTTTTGGGTGTCAGAACATATTTTCCAAAGAACAGATCCACGCGCCAGGTAACAACAACAGAACTGAAAGGGGAGTCGAAACGGGGTGGGTCGCCCAGGCTTCCCTAAGGCTAATGAATCGAGCCGCCGCAAGGACCCCCCAAAAGTCCATGTACCAAGTCCCTTAGAGCCATAGAACAGAGCGTCTTTTTCTTTCCCCGGACCTGTGGACGGCTGCGAAATACATTTCGCACCACCTAAGAAACCCAAGGGAATGATTCGATTCCCCCGTACATACCGAGCGACAATGGTTTCAACCCTAGTTTCGTGGGTGGTCCAGGATTTCCTCCATCCGCAGTATGGAAAAGCGAAAGTTAAGTGACCTTCAAACTGGCCTCTGGCACCTCGACACTCGGGATGCATCGTATGGGCCTAAGGAAAGAAGAGAATGACGTGACTGAGAGCTGAGAATGACGTGACTCAGAGGGACTCAGACTGAGTGATTGAGGGAGTGAGTAAATACTTTAAACTGAAGACAGCAACGCCTTTAAAACGCCCTCCACTTCAACCCTCGCTGTGCCCCGCTTTACGCTGCATGATACTTACCTGCTTCAAATTCTCATGTTGTCTTTGCAAATTCCCAGAATCCACAAACCGGAAATACGGAATCTCTGTCTTGCAAACATAGGGGTTAGCTCGTAAAAAGATGAGCTCAATAGAAACTTACCCAAATGTTCAAACATGTCATGGACTTTCAGGGGGACTATGGGGGGGGGGGGGTAAGCTAAGCATAAGCCAGTTACGACCCCCCCGGGTCCATGGGTATGGCTTACATGGCAGGCTGCCCGCCGCGCGCTTCTCTCTGGCCCAGATCGAACCGAAGCCATGGTGTGTCTCAAAATGGGTTGAGGGTTCCCCAAGATGAGTTGTGGCCTGTTCCATGTCAAACCCCAAAAAGACAACCCTCACCAAAATCCGCACAAGATCTCTCTCAAGGACCTGCGGGAAGTACGCAACTCAGCAAGTGAGTTCAACATCGTTCAGACCGCTAGTCTTTAACCAACCTCATGGTCATTTCTCCCTTTCAAGGGCGACAAAGAATCTTTCGCCCCTCCCGGTAACCCGGGGTAACCCGGGTACTTGCCCATTTCGCTTTTCTTGCGCGCCGGGACACTGGAGGAGATGCTGTGGGTCGCAGTGCAGCTCATGTTCTGCAGGCACTTGTAGCTCACCGCGGTGCTGCCCTTGAAGTTGTGCCTGCGCATCCCCGGGCTCGGCTTTGGCTTTTTCCGGCGCCTTGGGGCCTCGAGCCATGGGTCATAGCCGGTTTTAGTCACCTGGGACTTTTGTGGCGGTTGAGAAGTGATGGGGCCCATTCCCTCAACACGTGCCTGAGGTGTAAGACCCTTGTCCAGAACGTTTGATCGACTCCCAAACGCGTGTTCCAGGCGCTGGAGGCACGATGGTCATTTGTGCAGGGTATGTTTTGCTCAGGGGAAGAATAAAACACCACCTGCTCTACCCAAGAAGAAGGTGATGCTTCTGTGGGTGTGGCTTGCTTGACTCGCTTACCTTGCTCGCATTTTGTGCGGAATTTACTTCCACCCCCTGCTTCCAGGCTGCGCATGTTTTCTCTCGTGAGCCCCTTTTTCAGAAGACCCATCGATACGATACGGCCAACCACACGCTGCTATTTCCGGAGGTGCCCAATGCCGTGCTTCCGAAACGGAACTCTTTGAACCTGAATTCCAACTAGGTCCTCCAGATTAGAGGTTGGTGAGAATAAGGGTACCCGAGTTTTTTTCTTCTGTAGTCTATTTCAGTAGTGGAACACTCCCAACCAAAAAAGTTGGGTAAACATGGGCACCACTTGCTGGGGGACCGAGCCAAATAGAAGTGCAAAGCGGACAGGGGAGACAGAACCCAAAGGATCAAAGCCAGAGAGGCAAGCCTGTCTGGCAAAGAGCTGAGGGGCCCAACCCGAAGATTCGGAAGTTGGCAACAAATGGAATCCGGTTTGGTTGCTCCCGTCTCGTGAAACCTGGGCAACTGTTGAGGAGAATCCAAATAATTAGCCCTTTTGGAAAAGGACACCCAAAGGCAAACCTGCGTTTTGGCCATTTGAGTTGTCAAAAAACATAGTGGTATTAGCAGTGGTTTCATTCCCCAGAACCATGCAAAGAAAGCTAGAAAGGCGGCGAAGGCACCCTAGGTCCTCCAGAATTGAGAGGTTCGAATAAGTTGGTACCCGGTTCGTTTTCTGTAATCTATGTTAAAAAGGGGAACCCTCCCCAAAAAAGAAACGGTAACCGGGCAGCTAGCCGGGGGACCTGGAGCCCATTTCTGGTTGGGACTATGCCTTGACCTTCATCTCCCCGGGTTTTGCGGGGGCTGCCTCATACTGTGGATGCACAAAATCCATTTCGCACCACTTTGAACACATGGCCGAACCCATTCTTGCTATGTGCAGGGGAGTCGCTTCATTCCCTTCCGCTTCATTTCGGTGGTGCGACCTGGATTTCGCAACCATCCACAGTACGTGGCGAAGGCGAATTCCGGCCGCGACAGCTTTGCCTCAGCCCCAGGATGTGGCCCATCTCGTGCATGATCACCCCTCGCAAGCCTTCGCCCATCAGCACCTCTCGTCGAAACTGGGCTGGCTGTCCATTTGTTTTGTTGTTTTTGCGGGGTGTTGCTGTTTTCTGTGTTTGTCCCTCTCCATTTTTTTTTGGTTTTGTTCTTTTTCGAAATGTCTGATACCCTGCTAAAAGCTTGACGTTTCGTGGGTTACATTCGGAAACCCAACCACTGAACCAACAAAAAAGATCTAAGCTGGGCAGCTGGATGACTGGGAGCCAAGGGGCTATGGGTGGGTGCTAGTTAGGCGACAGTTGGCAGGCGGGTCCCAAGTTGGAAGCCCGAGTTGGAAGCCCAGGGAACGAAAAGGGAATCAGGTGCTTTGGTTTCACAGGGAAGCCAAAGGAACATCGCCATTCGTTTTTGGTTTTCTGGGCGTGCCGAGCTACCCAAAGGGTTCTCAAGGCGGTTTTCCTCTTGGTGGCCGAAGCCTGGTGCTGAATCGTGCAAGAGGAGTTGAGGATGGTCAGGGTCAACGCA